TATCGTTTGGTATGTATTTCGTTTCCCTAGCTCTAAAAATGGCGCGTTGGGAGCGCCGGAAGTCGGCAAGGTCACAGTCGGCGGCAGAAATTCGAAAAATCAAAATTTAAATTTTTGAAATCTGATTGTAATTTTGGATTTGGGAGGTCCATTTGCTCCCTATAGAAGCTAATATTGCTGCATATTCCCATCGAGGTGACAAGAATTAGCAAAATAGTGGTTCGGGCGCTTTTCAAAAATAGTACCGGACGCTGTTCCTCTTGTGACGTCATAGCTCCGTGACCTGACCTGACCCGGTCAAGTTTCTTATACCATATGATAGCCAATACTTGCCCCAACATGCATGGGAAGTTTCATCACGATCCATCAACCGATGTCCGTACCACCGGCAGGAAACCTCGGGCGTTGGCACTCAGTTTGTGAAAATCCGGCCGGAGGCTGTTCCCTTTGTGACGTCATAACTCCGTGACCTGACATGACCCGGTCAAATTTTTTTTATCAAAAGATGCGCAAGGTTTGCCCCATAAGGTACCCAAAATTTGGCGGCGCTGCGCGCCGCCGTTTTTGCACTATTTCCGAAAAACCTCAGGGGGGGGTTGCACCAACCCCCCCCCTACATGGGCGAGGGTTAATGTGTGATCGCAGCCACCAATAGCAAACCGTTTCAACTAGGAGCAAATAAGTTGCGCACCTGGGACAGTTCGAACCGGGCTTCTCCGACCGGTCACCCTACGACGCTATAGCGTGCATCCACTGAGCTACCGAGACCAGCGACTACCCGCCGCGGTCAAACGCGATGAAATGTCACAAAACTGTCATTGGCGGTCAGCGGGTGAATGTCATTTTGTTTTGTGCTGACGGGGACCATTTCCGGTAGCTCAGTGGATGAACGCTCGTATCGTGAGCTGACCGGTGGGGGAAGCCCGGTTCGAAGTTCGAACCCCCCTGAGTGTCCGACTTTTTGGCTCCTGGTTGGAACGGTTTGCTATTGGTGGCTGCGACCTCATATAAGAGGAACAGTAATAATCGCTTTAAATTGGGGCGTTAGCTGCCGCACTATACCCATACCCCTAGTTCCCACGTAGACGATTGCCTTGCGAAACAATAGACACCAATCTGCTCAATCAAGGCCTCAATACTAACATGTTATGCAAAATATAGCTCCGCACCTCGATGCACGGGTGACAAGTTCTATCGGCTGTCCCATTGCCACGCTTTAAGTGCTTCGTAATACGCATGGCAAGTAAATGATAGGCGCTGTCTTGGGCATAGGGCATTTTAACAAATGCTTTAGCGCTTGCAATTGATAGGTAGAATAATTGGCAAATGGAGACGCGAAAGTTAACTACGCTCGCCCAGCCGCGCGATGGTCCATGCTTCCACCCCACCTCACTCCCCAGCCCTCGCCAGCCGGCCGCCGCGCTGCGCCGCCCAGAGCCATGCCTCCGGGCCCGGCCCTCACCGCTGCGCTGACGTCACAGGCGGCCCACATCACCTTTCAGACACCGACCCAGACCAGTGTCATACGGTGTGGGTAGGCTGTGCCGCTTGACAAGTAAGTGAAGCGGCACAGTCTACCGTTACCAGGCGGCTGCTGCCAATGCTGAGCCATAGGAACCCGGTGGATAAAGAGTTGTGGAACATCAATCTGCCCCCGAGTGTACTTATCGTAATAACATCCATCTATCAAAGTATAAACAATCAACTACTGACTTTTCTGCGAACCAATAGATTCCGAAAAGCGCCACGGACTGAGACCAGCCTTCGGCGACGTTTATTCCAGCCCATACATCACACACTCCAAACAAGGTAGCCCCTGCGGCCATAGAGACCCGAGCCGCTCGTGGTATTGGACAGGGAAGGACCAATACTAGGAAGAGAAGACAGGGAAGTCGTTACTATTCTCGCCGGTGGGTGAACGCATCTGCTCCGGGCCGACTGCTGCGTGTCTGATAGATTAGGGTGCCCGTCATCGCACCAAGCGCTGAGGAACGCCCGCGGGGTAACGAATAAGGCCATGGAGCCGACACCCGTGAAGGTCTTCGACAGGTGTAATTGGCGTCCAGTGGCTACATGTGTGACTTGGATGAGTGATTTTCTATCTAAAATCACTCACAAGACGAGAACTGCTGACTTGAGCCTTTTCTTTGTTGGTCGATTCTTGCTCAGCATCGATATGCTGCTCAGGTATGAGCAGTATTGTACAGAGTCAACTATATAAGGCTTTTATCATTCAGGGCAGATTGTCTTGGCGAAATCAGCCGGGCTGAGAGAGGACCGAGGTAACTGTTTGGAAGTGATGAAAATGACGGAAATTGATAACAATGGCCAACATATTTTTTTGTTCTTTTGTGCTTTTCTGTAAACATTTCGTGATGGAATAAAACTAACAAAACTGTTTTAAAAACTATTCGAGCACATTCTTAAGAAACTCGACGCCTCGATACCTCCAGAAATTTCAGGGCAATGCAGCGTCATGCTCTCAATCACCGAGGCATATTTGCTGACTTTGAACCCCAACTCTTACTCCCGTTTGCCATCCTGCAAATGACACAATCTCGGCCATCTTCCATATTTGTCCAAATCCTTTCTGTCGCTGAAAGCCGGCGGCAATAAATGGCCCAAACTTCAGTCTGTCGGGACAAATGTGGGTCGACGGCTGTCAGTTCCGACGGGAGGGACGTCACGGCGGGCCGGCCTCGCTCCCCGTCGAGCGGCAGAGGAACAACAGACGCGACCGCCGGACGAGCGAGCTCTGAGCTGCGGCGAGGAGCTGCCCATTCCGTACAGCCAGTCTGCTAGTGTCAGAGACAGAGCTTCTGACAAATACACAGCCGACGACGGACGCGACGGGACGCTGGAAACAGATGTCCGGGCGGATTGGAGAGGAGAGGGCGATGCATTTGAAAAAGTGAGTGTGAGGATTCTTAGCGAGGGAGAGAAAGATGAGCGACGTTCTGATGTGTTGGCGTTACACCTTGTGATTTGATAAAGATGTCATCGCCGAATTTCTTGTCGCTCTCTTACATACAAAAGTTTTTAATATTGCAGCAGCGAACACATATTTATAATTTATATTACTATTTGCTGAACATAACAGTGAGTAAATTTTGACGAAGGGCTTTCAAAAATGGGAAGCGTAAAAACGCGCATTATACGACGTACGCGCAATACACAGATTTTAAATTGGTTTACCTGTGAAAACGAATTCATGACTGTGTTTTCGGCAAGTAAAACGTCACTGTACAGTCCATTTTGTGAGTTCAAAGCGATGGTAAACAAGACAAGTCGAATCGAAACTCCGACCCCTTCGTCTATCGAAGCTACCGGGAAAAGCGCTGTGTCTGCGGATTGAAAACATAAAACCCGTTTTCTGCGCCTTCCACCGTAGCATTTAGCGGTGACACACCGTAATACTTTAGATACCGGGAAATTGAGCATGACATTTGCGGTCAGAATGTTTTCCACGTTCCTCACGCGGACGTGAGCGAAGGGCCCTCTGGAACTGAAATCTCCAACCGCAAATGAATGCATACGGGCATCTCAAACAGCTAATTGGTCATAAAGGCGTAACTTTTCCCATATCGCGTTGAAAACATGAAATTATCGTTACCTTACTCAGCAGCTGTGATATGTGACCAGATTAAGAGTTAGCGTCAATTAGGAATGTTTCTAAGTGCGATTACTTAGCACAACAACATAACTTGCGGTTCCGTATCTCGTTATCTTCACTATATGCTTCAAAACCGCCATATTCCACCACTAAATATGTGGCCAATCAGCTAAATGTGGTTCTTACTCTTGATACAAACTTGCATTTGCAAGTCTGGATTTGCGTGCCATTTTGTCAGTTGTCACAATCCAAATTAACAGTAAGACACCAAACAAATGTGCGCTTTCACACACTCGTCATCGATTCTTCACATACACTTATAGGGTGGACCAAAAAGGATGGAAACATTTTGAACTCGCATAAAATATGTATTATTGCATGCAGGTAACTGAAAATGATACCAAACGAGAGCACATTTCGTGGAAATTCATAATGACATCTCTCTCATCTGCTTTCTCTCGCTTTCAGTCTCCCACAGCAAATGTTCGAAGAGGCCACTTTTGCGAGACAGGCACAGAGCGACCAGCCTGGCTGCTGACGCGATAGCCCGACGACACATGTCCGCTGGTATGACTCGCACAGCCTTGGTGATCGCTCTCTTCAGGTAACAGATGCCTTTAGAACCTTCCTTGTAGACCTAGCCTGAGGTGACCCCACAGTAAAAAAATCCATCGGGGTCAGGTCAGGTGAGCAGACAGGCCAGTTCCGACAGGCACTGCGGGATATCAGCCGGTCACCAACGTGGTTCTCGATCCACTTGAGCGTTGTTTCGCGATGTGAGGAGGCGCACCGTCGGGTGGAATCACATGAGGTCCATGAGACTGCCATACTTCGTTTGGACTACTTCAACAACTTCTTTAGCGTCGCTTGGTAGCGCTTTTGGTCGTCAGCCACGGTGTTGTCGCTCCCATCCTCGAACCGAAGTGGAACTGGCCTGTCTGTCTTTCATCTGACCTATGGATTCCTTTCCTGTGGAGTCATCTCAAGGGCCAGGTCTACAAGGAAGGTTATGTAGGCCTCTTTTATCTGAAGAGAGTGATCACCAAGGCTGTGCGAGTCATACCAGCGGACATGTGTCGTCGGGCTATCGCGTCAGCCGGCAGGCGGGCCGCTATTTTCCTGTCTCGCAAAAGTGGCCTCTTCGAACATTTGCTGTGGGAGACTGAAAGCGAGAGAAAGCAGATGAGAGAGATGTCATTATGAATTTCCACGAAATGTGCTCTCGTTTGGTATCATTTTCAGTTACCTGCATGCAATAACACATATTATATGCGAGTTCAAAATGTTTCCATCCTTTTTGGTCCACCCTGTACGTCCCTCTGGGGACTGCAGATCGCAGAGACTGTTACACCAGTTCTGCCCCATCCTCCTCCTTTGCTGTACTTACCACATATAAGAGACGATGAAGAAGTGCCTCCTCAACTGGTGGTTCTTCATCAGATCCAGGATCTTCCTCCACTCGCCGATGTGCGCGTGGAACTCGTGCTGGAGGTACTCGCCCGTTCCTGGTCGGTTCTTGAGGTTCAGCTGTGTGGAGCGCAGCCGCTCGGCGGCCGAGCGACGGGGAGGGCCGTGACCGTTCCCTGCGAGCAGAGAATAAGAAAATATTTTTACCTATATTCCTCTCTAACACACGACAAAGCGACCCATTTTCCGTACACCTCCATTTCTAGCTATCCTCGACAAAGGCTGGCGCAAAATGATTAGTTAATGGCTGGTAAATGAGGCAAATGAATATCAAATTCTAGTTATCATATTTTCAACGCAACATTTCACGCGCAATAACATCGATAGAGGGTATAGAATGGGCATCAGCTATGTACGTCATTTACAAAATACACCACTACCGACTGACCTGTGGCCTCATCGTCGCTACCTTCGCCGTCATCATGATCAGCCTTGTCCAGTTTGAAGTCGCTGGGAAGGATGATACCGTTCAGTCTGGACCCGAGACGGATCAGCTTCTCAGCTTCTTGGTGTCGTCTCATCGAGACCAGCCACTGGATCGATTCCGGCATCAGGAACCTGTCGGTAGAAGAGTGGGTGTCAAGAACGGGCAAGGATGCAGACTGCTGTGGAAGGGGAAACGGTAGAAGGTGGTAGATAGGGCAACAGGAGATAATGTCGAGAGGACGACAGCATTTTGTGGCAGAACAGGCAGAAGGAAACTGATAGAAGTTAGAACGGATGGCGGTGTATGTACAGGGTGTCTCAAAAGTTCGTTATCACATTATATTTGCATGTGAAACAGAGTACATTGCGTCTTGATATATTTGTGACCCCTCAATGTGCTCCCCATTTAATAGGCAAACACATGAACACATGCTGCGGCATGCCAACCGGCATGTTTGGCTGCATGGCAGGCTTAAAGTTAATCCAGACTGACTTGACATGCGTCGTGAGCTCCTCGAGGCTGGAACAGCGCTACGCTTCGACGAGCCTAATTTTCAGCATAACCAACACATTTTTATGAAATTTTGATCCAATGAGGTGCCTGGCATGTGGTCTTGCCACAAACGCCTGTCACAGTCTCCTTGCACCGCTTTTAAGCTTTGCTTGACCTGTGCACTGATGCACTGTCTTGCCTGAAGATGGGCCTACGACCTCTCGGATGCCATTTTCTCCTCTATAAATGTGTTCATACTCGCGGTTCGAGTTAAGCTTGAGGGTTGAAACTCCTCCTAGATGTTCTTGGAAAAGCATTATGCTTCCCAAAGCTGTTTCTGGGACACCATTTGCAACCTGGTCAGCGTCTGGACGCCTATAACCCCACAATACCGTGACCTTGGCCTTTCGCATAGGAACATAACGGGACGAAACGGAGGCCTCCTCCTTCGCCCTTATGGGGTTGTTTTCGGGTTTGGACGGGTGTTTCATCTCGAACGTGAACTAGTTAGTCCAGATGACCTGGTTGATGTCCTCAGCCCTTTAGTTCTTTTTAGCCTCAGGCATAACGAAACTCATGTTTGGCCATTTTAAGACGTTTTTGACTGTTTTGAGCCCCCCGGTAAGCAAAGCTTAACCCTCGCATGTGTGCGGCGTTTGCCAGCTTCTAATGTGTAGGGGGGGGGGGTCGGTTGGACCCCCCCTTGCCGTTTGGCCCCTGATCGAGCTAGAGCTTCGCGGAAAAAACGAGCGTGTTGCCCGTGACGAGAGGAAGCCGATGATACCCAATTTTAAGGTCCTAGGTCATTGGTTGACCTTCCAGGTCAGGTCAATGACCCAAAGTCGGGAAAATCGGGACCTGTTAGAAAGTCGTAAAGTGTGGCTGATAAGGGGTTTTTCGGGGTGCTGATCACGAATATCGTGTTAGTTTTGATCACAGATGATGTCTTGAAGCATTTAGACCAGCTCGGGTCAGGTCAGGTCAGGTCAACCAGTAGGCGTCGTGACGGGTATTCGTAGTACGTGTCAACCACCTCTGACAGCTTCGTAACATGTTACAAAGTCACCAAAACTACTTCTTAAATGTTCAAATGGTTGCTAAATTCGAATTCAGCTCCAAAAACTAGCCTAGAAACATGTAAAACTCGAAAAAATGACCCGAGGTCACCCGAGGTCACCAAAGGTCAATGACCTGACCTGACCTTCAGGTGACCTTGACACACACGGGAGTAACATCAAATCACATGTTTGAACGTTTGAAACCACGAAAATCTTGCAAACACGCGGCTAGTGCGAGCCGACATACGCGAAATCGCGATTCCGGCCAAACATGGTCTCGGAAAAGAGGTCACAGGTCAAAGGTCATTTGGGTCAGGGTCATGAAATTTTCAGGGTAGGTGTAAAATTGATCAATGCGAGGGTACTGAAAGTTTCGTCGCGATCGGCCGCTTTTTACGCGAGTTATTCGCGAAAAACCATGGGGGGGGGGTCCATCCGACCCCCCCCCCCCCTACACATGCGAGGGTTAAGTCACCTTGAGTTATGTACCCCGAAAGAACACTCTTAGGCAGCTGGTAATCCATCCTGAAAAGTCTGTTTACCAACTTTCTAACCCTTTGACCTTTTTGATGGCCACTTTGGTGCCACACAGTTTTGGCCACATGGCTCACTCCTGAGAGCTGACAAAAAAGAGGATAAAGTTGCAATTATTGACTCCCGACAAATCATCGGTGTCACTTGCTAACTGTGCGTCCAGTTAGCGATGGACATTGTCTACAGACTGGTAGGCCTCACTCACCCTCAATCGTCGCGAATGGTCACGTGTTGACTAAATACCGAGACGTATGTACCCGTATTGGAGACCTTTATGTTGCGGCGTTAGCCGTCTGTGTAGGAAACGGGCTCTCTAGCAAAAACTATTTTGTCTACAGAAATTAGTTACTGTGGAGCATATTTCTACCAGCCATGGCAACCACGTTAGCCCAGTAACGAACCAATTTCAGCGTGCCTTTAAGCAAGAGAACCTAAAAACGTAACATTTAGGTGAGAACGAACTTATGGGACACCCTGTACTGCGGAAGAACGAACAGTAGATAAGTGGTAAGGCGGATGACAGAAAAGAGCCAGAAAATTGTAAAGAAGCCAGTTGTTACTGGTAAAGACAGGATCTTTAAATGCCACGAACTTCACAGCAGAGTGGACTCATGAGGAAACATGTGCTCGCTCGATATTTTTACCCCGAGCGCAGCCTCCGTCAACTCTGTCAGCATCGGCTGTAGTTTTTATCCGAATAATTATCAGATTAGCACCCAGGAGACTTTTTGTGAAACAGGAGATCATACAAACCTGCTTTACTGGAGGACAACTAGGTTGACAAAAGACGGCAGGGACCAGTCTTTGGCAGGGACCAGTCTCAAAAGACGGCAGGGACCAGTCTTGTTTTTGTTTAGCGTGTTGTCAAGGCCACAGATAAAGTCATGAATTTAGGCGCTAATTAATTTGTAGAGAGAAATAAAAACGGGCCAGTACGCCAGACAGAAGTTAGCATTCAGCAGGTAACACGCCGTGAAAAAGGCCAGTATACGGGCGACGGGTTAACTTGGAGCTTGACAATCTCTGACAGTCACGAGATAGAAACTTAGACACGTTTTTGTCACCAAGAGAAGATAAACAGGGTTTCATAATTAATTTCACAAACTGGCTGGCCAATGTCACCTGGTTCGCGATACCAGTTGGGTGGGTAGTTGAATTATGAGGTTGAACAAACTTGAGGAAAATTATGACAGAGACCCTAGCGTTGAGAGCTTATGAAGGCGGTAGTGATTAGGGTGATTTAAAGCGACAACTGTCGATGCTACCAGCGCGGCAGTATCTGGCGTATGTGCTATAAAAACCCATGTTTTTATCTTGTCTGGAATCTCAAAGGCCTCCCTGTGCGCTGAGATAGCAGACTGCTCGGCCATGGCCAGCGCACAAAAACTATACCGAGGAGCGTGTAGCAACGCACGCGGCGTTCCATCCGCGGATCTGAGCGGTTCATTGCCTGGCTGTTCCCAGACGCACCGTCTATAATCCCGATTCATTCTCCATTCCCCAGTAAAACTCTGACGGTTTTCCTTATTTCCAACTCACCACGCCCAAACTTCTTGACACGCGGAAACTTTCGCCCCGCGACGCTCTAAGCCCCTCCCTCCATCAGAATCTATTAGGGTCTCAGAGCTGAGATGTGAAAAAGAGAGGCAACTGCTTTAAAGATGAGATGCTATCGCTTTTGCTTCTCCACGCATGGTTCTCGCTTTACAACCTTGGTTCTGGCGTCACAGCCGCTGGCACTAGGTGGTAACCTAAATCGCCGTACCGTTAGGTGGCGGTCGGTCGATTGTGGTGGCCGGTCTCCACAGGGAGTGGGGTCGGTGGCCGACGAGAGAGCACGAGATGTGAAATTTTACAGCGGGACCATTTTATCGTGGACGGTGCAGAACTATTGCTGGTCCACCAACTCAGCGAAAAAAAAAATGAGAGAAAAGCTTCATAGCATTGTTCACTGTTCAGTTTTATTATTAGAGATTGGAGATCCGGGTGCCTACTTAGTAGTAGAAAAACATTCACATCTACAAACCAAGTAGCGCCAATGAGGCAGGCTAAAGGCGAATGGTGTTTAGATCAGCGCTGAATGTCATCATGACTCGGTAAACATGACTTTTTAAGCGGAGAAGGAACGGCTGCTTTTCGATTACAAAAGCAAGTTGAAACAGAACATTTAAAAACGTGACGCGGAAACGGATTGCATCCTTTCAGATAGTCTTTACACGGAATTCATTTTTAGACGAGTTAAGGCGACCTCTCGAGACGATCTGGAGCCTTCTTCCATCCGCTAGCATTGTAACAAAGGACGCGCGTTTATCAACCTCCCGGCCAATATACCACGCAGTGCGGCGCCCGATTCAGTCTGCATTGACACAACACGAGAGCCGGCCGCCACAAAGTTAAACACTCAGCGCGGCTCGTAAAGCAGCCAGCGAAGTCTTATTGTTTACGCAGGACGGAGATGAACAACCCGCTAAGCTGTATAACGCAAACAAATAACTGATACAAACGCTGACATTTATTACGCTGTTTCAGAGTTCAGAATAAATTTAACATTTTCAGCACACACACTAGACAACAAAGCTCACTCCAATTAAGTTCCGTTTCGATGAAATTAATGGTGTGAAGTGCTTTAGCGAGGAACATAGCGAGAATAAATACGTGAAGAATCATTGACCTTTTCCTCGAAAATGTAAAAACAATTTCGAGGAAAAGGTAAATGATTCTTCACGTATTTAAAGGAAATAGTTCACTTTTTAACATGGGTTTTGAACTGGAATAGCAGTTCCGTAGCTTGGGCTGAGACGAGCATAAATCAGGAGCTTTTACAGCCCAACGATCACCCTAGGCAAAGATATTCTATTTCTCGTCCCGAAAAAGGTGTCTTGCGTTGAGGATGTGTGCCTTGCATATATTTCCATCCAGTATGAAAAGAGCATGGGTCCCGAAAATTATTCAGAGAACTTCAAATTATCTACGAGAACTCTAGAGAAATTCTCGTACTGATCAATTAGGACATTCAGGGGAACATTATCAGATCGAGCAGATCGCCCAAATGCCGGTGGCTGCGATAATTTCTCTGTTTCTGAAGAAATTTCGGGACCCATGCTCTTTTCATACTGGATCGCGTGTGCCTTAAAGAAACTGAAAAGTTCTTCCTATATCAAAATATAGAAAAAAAATCTTTTGTTATAAAAAGGTTTTATGTTCTTTGCTGATTATTTTGAACATAAAAAATAATAAATCGTTGCAAAGAAAAATAATTTTGTGAAAGTGAACTATTTCCTTTAAGTTCCGTTTCATCCAAAGAGCGTGAAACAAAAGCTCACCAAAGCCGTTAACCTCTGTTCCAGAATAAAAGTAACTCAGCAGAATCAGAGAATGAGCAGAAAGCACAGCTAAATCCCGCTGCAAAGTAATCTAACCTACTCACCATGAGAAGAGTATGAGCAGGATGCAAAGCTAAACGCACTTCTGCTACAAATTCAAAGCTACTCACCACGAGAAGGGTATGAGCAGGATGCTCTCCACGCTGATGGCCAGCTGCAGCTTCCACCAGGAGCGGAACAGCATGGCCTGCAGGCTCAGCAGGATCTGGCCGATGGCGTAGGCCACGTATAGGATGAGTGGCGCGATCGGGCGAGACTTGGAGGGCGCCATCTCCACGGCCAGCACGAGCAGGGCGATCTCCACACCCTGCGGGGGATAGAGACGGGTCAAGACGTGTACCACTACCAGCACGAGCAGGGCGGTCTCTTCGTCCACACCCTGGGGGGATAGAGACGGGTCAAGACGTGTACATACCACTGCCAGCACGAGTAACGCGATCTCCACACCCTGGGGGAACAGAGACGGGTAAAGATGTGTACCACAGACAGCACGAGCAGGGCGATCTCCACACCCTGGGGGATAGAGACGGGTAAAGATGTGCACCATGGCCAGCATGCGCAGGGCGATCTCCATATCCTGGGAGAATGGAGACGGGGTAAAGGAGGCGCAAAAGGCCGAACACAGCCATGAGGAGGCATGCTAAGCGATACTATGCTGCTTGTCGACAACCGGCTTCTAAAAATACTTGTACGTTTTTGTGGAGGCTAAATCTACTTCGGAATACAGTGTCCACAGCACACATGGTGGAAATAAAATTAGCACGTTCTTCATTTCAAGATCCTAATGCGACGTGTCAAAAAGCCCAGCTCCATGATCATGTATGTAACTGCTTAAAAACGAGTTCGGCACTTGGCCCCATCTTCCTCTGTACATAAGGTTCAGACAGAAGAGCTAAATTAGGCATACTTTACCTACCGATTTCAATAATCGATCCGCTTTGCAAAATAGTTTGCAAGCTTCCCTTCTCAGATTTAGCCCAACGTCACTCCGTTTAGAGTTCATCCACCCCCATCCGTTTAGGAATCACGCCGACGAGTTGGTTAGACCCAATCCTACAGCAAAGTGCTGTGATTAGGATTTGGCAGTACTGGTTGAGGCTTAGGTGCTGCCAACTGCTAGGCATGCAAAATGTTTATCTTGTCTTAATGTCGTCGTATATGGACGTCGCCAAGAATTTTATTTTCTACATGGATATGCGCGGACCAATGTGGACAGCATAGATGTTACCAAATCTGGCTCAGTTAGGAGAGGCTGCCCCGGTGTGCTCAGTCTGCCAGTTTGGTGAGTTTGCCTGCTGAGTCTGTCTGCACGGTCTGCTCAGTCTGTCAGTTGTCTGACTGCGGTGTAGCCATTCTGCCGGTGGTCTAGTAAGTCTGTCGGAAGTTTGGTCAGTGTGTTGAGCCTGTCCGCAATCTGGTCACTCTGGTGAGCCCGTTTAGTCATCCTGTCTGATGAGTTAGTCTGATCGTTCTCTTGGCAGTCTGCTCACTGCTCAGTCTGCTCAGTCTGATTGGTAATTCTGTGGCCCTGTCAGCAATTTGCGCAGTCTGCCTGGTGATTTTGTCTAATGAGTCTGTCTGCTCAGTCTGTCTGCAGTCAGACTGTTCTCTCCTTGTCCGTGACCCTCGAGTAATCCGGAGCCGCGTACCCGGACAGTGCCCACCGCCGCGCCGCAGACAGAGCGCGCATTTGCATAATCCCGGGGAGTGCCCAAGCAGAATTTCTCGATACGCTGCCGGCAGCGAACGCAACATGCCTAAGAGGAGATGTAGGTAATGTGGCATCTATGGAACGTTTTACCCGGAAATGGGTGGGCTATTACTGCATGGATGCTGGACAACATATTCTGATAAGGGATGAGACTAGAAAACATGAATGATGCTGGCAAGAACTCTTTTTCGGATGGATGGCTGGATAAGATGGATAAGCGCATTACAATTCGATAAACATTAGACAGGTCGTTCAACAAACTGCTTATTTGTGAGCATGTTTACAGCCGGCAGCGCGTGATCGTTTCGATTGTACGGATTTCTGAGGATGACCGTGTTTAAATACAAGTGCTTCAAGGTATCCGAAATGACGCATTTGTATTTTAATGCATTTTCCAATTATCATAAATATGGGAAATACGAGTAGAAGGATGAAGGCGAAAAAACGCCACTTCTACAAGCGTGCTTTTCCTAAACCAATATCCACTTCCAAACGTCAAAGCTGTTCCGTATCATCCAGTCCCATCTCCCGTGAAGTGAAGCACCAAGTCACCTCCTGTTATGGTGTCTGAAGATCAATCGCGCTTCCCGCCCTTGAGAGGACACATTCCGAGAAGTCAGGGGCGCTTGAAAGACACATGGTGCGTCCAGAAAACGGAGAGGCCGAATGGCGATTACCCAAGGACGTTCGCCCCAGCTAATTGGCAATGACATGTCATATCTATGACATGCTCCCTGCACGGAAGGTTGGGAGCAGATTTATTGATTCCGATGTGGGGCACTTTTGATAATTTATTTTAGCCCATGCGTACGACAAAATGTATTTTGCTATTTTTTTACTTTCGAGAGAGAGAGAGAGAGAGAGAGAGGGGGGTGAAGGAAGGAAAGAAAGAGACAGAGAAAGAGGAGAGAGGGGGAAAGAGAGCCGAAAATATGAAGGATAAAAAAGATATGGGAGAAAAAGGAGAAAATTTGATGTTGCACATTTGCTTGTGGCCTGTAGCCTCTTTTTACCTCAATAGCTCAGTTTTTGCAACTGCTTATCGTCGGGCCAGCCCAAGGGCCAGCTGGTCGCGGCAGTGAAAACCCGATTCGACTCCCATCGGCATTTGCTATTTCTTCCCGGCGGGAATCACCTGCACCCAGTGGAGACGGTGGCGATATGGGCCAGATGACACGATGAGCGGTACAAGTAAAAACCAGTCGCTATGCCAGGGTGAACGCTTCCCGTCTATAACCCGGCGTTTCCGGTGGGGTTAGAGGTCATGGCCTTGAACCAGCCCGCGTCTGAGTCTAGTTACAGTAACGAATCAATCAATAACTTCAAATCAAAATGATAATAATTGTTCATGACGTTATCGGCCTCGTACTATCATGAGTGAAACCACGATTTTCAATCGACTGTTCGGTATAAGAAATAGTCGTCCTGACTAGACAGGATTTGTCAAATGCTCCTCTTAATCATTTTTATTAATTGACCACTCCTGTAGCTGTCGGTGTGGGTGCTTCCTACATTCCTGCAGCGGCAGACGGCAGCATAACTACGTGGTAGGGTGATAATTTTGTAGGAACTAACCAATTTTCACCCAGTATGTCTTCACCGACCAAACAGACAATCGGTCAGTTCCTGTTTGGTCGCGGAAATGCTCCTAAAAATGTTAAATGAACTTACAATACACATTGACCGATCTCAGACACATGGGAGCTGGCAGGATAAAAAAGTGAAAGTAAAATCCGTTTCGATTGTAAGACTCCAGCCCAGACGTCTAATTACCGCACACACTTTAAGAATACCCGCAGCAAGATAACGCAGATCTATCTATGAATTTAAGTGCGTAACGAGCGCCGGTATCGGTGAGGGTATCGGGCAGTGAGCTGTTTGGAAGGTATGAGGTCAAGGCGGGACGGTACGGGTCCCAGCACTGTCGTAATCGCTTTAATCTCTATCCCCTGTCATCTCCTGAAGAAGGCCGGAGACGGAAACCGGTTTTTGGGTGGCGTGTCTCCGGCTGGCGAGTGCACAGGATAGCACTGGCTGGTGCTTGGCATCAGATATCGCTGAAAATGGTCCGCGTGCGTGTGCCAGTTTGGTTCAGGGGCGCGTTGATTGCTTAGATAATTTACTAAGATCAGAGCTGAGTTTTGACACATCTGGTAAATATTAGATATTCAAAATAACCAATATTTTGGATGTTTGGATCCATCCCTCCCCCTCCCTTTCTACCAACCCTCCCTGTCTCCCTCCCCATCTTCTCCCTTTCTCACTCTCCCTCCCTCCCCTTCGCCTCTCCCTAACCTCTCTCCCCCCCTCTCTCTCTCTCTCTCTCTCTCTCAATTCTCTCTCCCTCCCTTTCTCTCTCCTCCCTCCCTCCCCACTCCCTTTCTCTCCTTTTCCTCCTTTTCTCCCACTTACCTCCCTCCTCTCTCTCCTCGTTTTTTGTCTCGTTCTCTCTCTCCCCTCTCTCTCTCTCCCTCTCCCTCTCCCTCTCCCTCTCCCTCTCTCCCTCTCTCTCTCTCTCTCTCATCTCTCCCTTCCCCAGAAAAAACTCACCTCTATGTAGAAGCGGGACAGAAAACGCAGCACCCAGTAGGAGCGAATATCTCGCACGAAGGCTATTCCGAGAGAAATGAGACAGTTCTGGCAGCATACCATCATGAACAGCGTCTTCCTTCCGTACTGAAAAACAGAGGTCAGGGTCATTCAGGCATTGGTTTGAGATTTCAATGAGTGATGATCAGACTTGGCCAGATTGACTGATGGAAATAAGTGGCAGTCACGGATATATGTCATTCAATGCGTGTATGTGGTGGTCTTGGTCACGCAATATTGAGATCGCTTGCTCTCTCTATATTACGGTATTGGAATGTCTCTCATTTACTGGTAGAGCCAGCCAGGTGTGTGTGTGTGGGGGGGGGGGGAGTTCTGTTTTTCCTGTTGGGTGATAATGTATTTGCCAAGTTAAGCAGTAAAAAAAGCACCGTTCATTGGTGTTGAAAAGAACTTTGTAGGTAACCTTTCCCCGACAGAACACAATTCGCATATTCGTCTCCTGGCAACTGAGTCCCAGAACGCCAAACGCTGCAACATTGGACATTTGTGTGCGATCAATGGAATGCACTCAGGGAGAGCGGTTAGAAATTGGACCCGAATATGAGCCCACTCCACTACCGATAGCGATAATATAGTGCAATTTAACGCACCAATACACTCATGAATCTTGCGGAACCGCCAGCTAGCTCTCGAGAGAAAAGCAGTGAATAATAGCAGCTACGACTCGAAACAAACAACGGGTCCATTTGAATCACACAATTATTGAGCCTCCAATTATGCAGAGAAGTCTGAATGACATGTAAATTAAGCCGCAACGACTTTTAAATGAAGCTATCGTTGCATGTTCATTATTATTACTTCTTGGGCCAAACACAATATGCACAGTAGCGACCGAACACCTTCAATTAAGGGGGGGGGGGGGCACTGCCGACTTTTGGTCCCATTCTTTCCATGCAACGCTCATAGGGCTAATGTTAAAATGCCAAAATCAAAGGGGGCACGGTGCCCCGGTGCCCTCCCCGTTCCGCCACCTATATGAATATGCAAACATGAACTTGCAGGCGCTAGGATTGAATCTTCATGCCGAATGTTGCACATCATGATCTCAAGATAATCCAAATGATTTGCAGTTATGTTTCAAGCGCTCACTCGCATTCAAACTTCTGTCCAACTGTATCAGTAACTCACCTTGTCCACAAACGGAGCGAATATGATGGCGCCGGCCACCATGGCAGTCCCCAGCACCGTGTTGGTAATCACTGAGACGTCATTACCGCAGGAGAGGCCGTACTGAAACACGGAACACGCAGACGGTCAGACCATAGCGATACAACAGTCAGAATAGGCTGTACTGAAACATGAAACACGCGGACGGTCAGAACAGACCGGCAGAGTGAAACAACGGTCAGGAGAGACATAACACGGAACACGTAGACGGTCAGAACAGTGATACACAACAGTCAGGAGAAGCCATGCTTAAACACAACACATAGACGGTCAGAACAGACTGGCATAGTGATATAACAGTCAGGAGAACCCATACTGAAATAATGAACACGTAGACGGTCAGAATAGACTGACAGAACAATAATGCAGTCAGGAGAGGCCACACTGTAACACTGTGGACCAGAGCGAGGGTTAGAACAGACTATGGTATGACTTGGAGAGCAGACGCGGAAGATTCTCACGTCATTTTATGTCTATCATTCGCTGGAAAAGTATAGCCAGCCAGAGACATTTTTAGCTCATTACTCTAAAAACATTTAGACTTCTCTGAGAAGTGTAAAACTCATAACGTAATAGATTTACTATGTGAATAAAAATGTTAGAAATATTACCACAAAACGATAACGATCAGCAACTTTGATGAGTCCCCCGACTAAAAAGTACCCCTGGCGTTCCTATTTGTATTGAAAACAGGAAGCTAGGTGTATAAAACACCTGAAGTTCTTAGCTTAACTGATCCTATTATTTTGAGTTGAGCAACGCACCTGTTACAATTGTGCAGTGATAAAGCTTTCCGATAGCAAGGGTACACGTGAACTTACTTCCACGGATAATGCGCGAATGGAAAACAGCAACAGGAAGCGTATTCAAATAAAACGACCTTGAATAAATTTCATATGTTTGCAGCGTGCTGTTCGAAATCTGCAGCTCACACTATAACTGAATGGCTAATGTCTGAGCGATCCGCTGATGGTTCGACTTTCTGACGGACAATTATCATGTTTGACAGCACTGATTGATGGAGCGAATTCAGTAGCGCCATTAATATTGTAATGTGTTATTTAGCATAGTTTGGATGCATAGGAAGCGTAGGACCAGCGCAAATAGACGCAAATTGGAAGCATTAGATATGCATTACTGACATGTTTGTAAATTTTAAATATCATGACCATGAGTATGACCTTCAAAGACAGCTCACAAAAGATGCTGAAGAAGGTCACTTCCGGCCTAACCCTCGCCGGCACAGGCCATTTCTGGGCCATTTTGCGTCCTTCGACGGCACAAGGGGGGGGGGGGGTTGGTACGACCCCCCTCGCGTTTGGCCCCTGATCGAGCTAGAGCTTCGCGGAAAAAACGAGCGTGTTGCTCGTCACGAGAGGAAGCCAATGATACCCAATTTTAAGGTCCTAGGTCATCGAGTGACCTTCCAGGTCAGGTCAATGACCCGAAAACCGGGAAAATCGGGACCTGTTAGAAAGTCGTAAAGTGTGGCTGTTATGAGGTATTCCGGGGTGCTGATCACGAATATCGTATTAGTTTTGATCAGAAATGATGTCTTTAAGCATTTAGACCAGGTCGGGTCAGGTCAGGTCAGGTCAACCGGTAGGGGTTGTGACGGGTATTCGTAATACGTGTCAACCGCCTCTGACAGCTTCGTAACATGTTATGAAAGCACCAAAACTACTTCGTAAATGTTCAAATGGTTGCTAAATTCGAATTCAGCTCCAAAAACTAGCCTAGAAACATGTAAAACTCGAAAAAGCGAACCGAGGTCACCCGAGGTCACCAAAGGTCAATGACCTGACCTGACCTTCAGGTGACCTTGACACCCACCCTAATGTATGGGAGCAACATCAAATCACATGTTTGAACGTTTGGAACCACGAAAAGCTTGCAAACGCGCGGCTAATGCGAGACGACATACGCCGAATCGCGATTCCGGCCAAACATGGTCTCGGAAAAGAGGTCACAGGTCAAAGGTCATTTGGGTCAGGGTCATGAAATTTTCAGGGTAGGTGTAAAATTGATCAATGCGAGGGTACTGAAAGTTTCGTTGCGATCGGCCGCTTATTACGCGAGTTATTTGCGAAAAACCTTAGGGGGGTTGCATCAACCCCCCCGTGCCGGCGAGGGTTAAAGGTTGTTCGCAGGTAGACTCGTCATTGTGGTAGCCTCGTTGGTCTGAGTTATTAGGGGCAAATAAGACTCCTGGACTGCAACCAGCTCCTGCGTTGTGACCAGACAAACGTTCACGAAATGACAAATCGGCTCACCCGCTAGATCTCTGTGTCCGAACAAATGTGCAGTAAATCAAGACACAGCCAGTATAGTCGGTTCTGGTTTCAAAAGTCCATAGGTAATACATACTGCACGATGAAAAATCTCGGAAAACATTACAAGCCAACATGAGGGAACTATTGATATGTTTGGTACATTTAATGCGCTTAGTGTCAGATCAGCTAATGACATGATTTGAAGACAATAGACCTTTTTCTTGGAATCGAAAATTTTGCTGCGCGACGAGACAAAGTGAGCACGCTAACTGTTACATAACAAATAAGGCCATAGGCGCTTCTAGATTACCGAATGGCATATTCCAGCTTGATCATATTATTGTGATATTTCACATTGGCTCACAATTAGAGGTCAGTGTTCTCCACTGGTAACAAGTAACAACGGCTTCAAAAGCTGTCGTCTGCTTTACCATTTATCTTAAGTTGGGAAGAAGGCAAACAGAAAGGAATATAACTCGCCACTTTTACCATGGATATAAAATAGTACAATAAGGGACTTATGCATCTCGAGACGATGCTTGAATCACCTAGGAAAGATAGCGTTCGTGGCAAGCGCTTCAATCATTGATTTTCTGATAAGCGGCCGACGAATGCAATTTATTTTCAGAGTGACTGATGCCAACCGCCAACAGAGATTTATTTGCAAGGCTATAAATCTAAGACGTCCGAGAAACAATTTGCGTCCACTAGAGAAAGCATCCAAATACGACTTGCCTTCTGCTGGGGAGCACGGGATTGTAACTTTTAATACTGTTTATATTATTTACGATTGCTTGATCAACACGCCACAACGCTGATAAATTTATAGCTTCATCTCCGAGTAAAAGCAATGCCAATAGTAAAAACAAAAATGACTATCTGGAGTTTGGAATTATTGGAAATAGCTGACCAAAAATAATAATAAAATAGAAGACCATGAACTGGCGACAGCACAACCGTTGGCAATCTTTACGCTAATCAAAAGTTACGGCTATATTCATCACGATGCCGTTTAGGAAGCATTCTTAGACATTTAGCACATAAGCCAAAGAAGATTTGATTTATCACACAATTAAATGTACACTACAATTAAAAGTAAGCCATTTGTCAATTACGTTAGCCGGTGAATTCCGTGCCAGGGTGTGCTACCTCTGCTAATCGTTGAAGTCTGCGATTTCTAACAACTGGATAAAGTCTGCAAATTCATCTGGACTGTTCTCATGGCACCGTCACGTATGCATTGCAACGAGCTGGGTACAATAAGGTTACAAGCCGAGGTATATGACTCGGCAACTCCGAAGGCCACGTACCCAAAAGTGTTGTTAGCATAACGCCAACAAAGCCTCGAGAGCCGATAAGTCTCCAGTGAAAATGTGACCGAATTCCGCAAAGTTGTAAACGCTAGTTATGTCTCAGCTGCAGGCCTTGGTATGGGAGCCAGCCGTTTGAACAAGGAGCAGCACCGGTGAATAATTCGCAGAATAGGACCCTTATGAAGCATATTTGAAATATGAAAGTGAATCAAACGTTTCAATTTTATATAAGAAAGTGACCGATAATTAAAGACTGGTAATTAAGCGATAAGGACTAAGTTTAAAAATAAAGCACCAGGTGGTGGACATTGTTTATGTAACAATCTGAAGGGGCACAGCTGAGTTTTTGCCATTTAAGCTTGGTTTTTCCCTATGTATGTACAAAGATTCGTATCTTTGTACATACATAGGGAAAAACCAAGCTTAAATGGCAAAAACTCAGCTGTGCCCCTTCAGATTGTTACATAAACAATGGACTAAGTTTAAAATAGCAACACGGCGACGAACTCAGCAAAATCGTTTGCGAAATAAAACTGTTTCCGTAGCATCATGTTTGCGCCAATTTCGAAACCTTGATGAAATAATAGGCGACCTGGGTATACTCAAACGAATTTTACCAACGGTAAATGCACTATACCTAATACATTTGCGATGATTTGAATGAACAGTGCGGTCGAGCCTGGAGTCAAGGTCGTTACAAGACCAACGCTTACGTCCTTGATGGTCTGGGTCAAATCTAGCTCATTTGTTAGGCGAGCAGCCGCATTGCACCAGAAACCTCCGCGATGAGTTATATATCCACAGCGGACCGGACCTAGAATTGAGTCTATGATGACCTGGGCGGGGCAAATCTAGCTCATTTGTCGGTTGGACAGTGCGTTACGCACGAGACACCTCTACGGCGAAGCCACAAGGGTGGCCGTAAATGTACTTACTTCTGTGATGAGGGTCGTGCCGACATCGGCGAGGTAGTGGATGCCGTGCTCGCATTCTATGGTCCGATGCAGAGGCTTCTTCTTGCCGTAGTGACCGTACGACGAGTGTTTGCCCTTGTCTTTGGAGGAAGCACCCGTCTTGTGTTTGTCGTCGTGATTTTTGGCGTGATTGTCTGCCTGACGTTCACTGTGGTTAGAACTGTCGTGATTGTCACTCTCCCGTGCGTGAGAATCACTGTTACTGTCAACACCGTGCTCGCGATCAGCCGGGCCACCCTTATCATGATTATCACTTTGCGCATCATGGGTATCACCATGCTGGTCCTCATGTTTGTCACCATGTGGGCTCGCAAGGCCACCATCACTATCACTGTCAGGGTCACTGTCGTGAGCACCGTGACTTCCTGACTCACTGTTCAGCGGCGCCAGCTGTTCTGGTGAAGCATTCGGATGGTTTGTGTTGTCTTTGCCATCGGGCTCGAAACGTTCGTCGCTTTTAGCATCGGTGAGGTCTTCTCCACCTGGCTCCGACTCCTGGGTATCATACTCGGGAGCGCGTGAGCCTGTTACACCCGACCCAAGAATGGAGCGATCGCTGTAAGCACTGTTGAAACTGTGAACGATGATCTCCTCGTCGTGATGATCGCCATCATCGTGATCATTGTGATCTTCGTCAGGATGATCAGTAGACTCAGCATGCTCGTCAAGCGGAGCTTCGGTCCTGACCTCACTGCTAGTCGGTGCTGGAAAGGTGGCCATCTCACTATCATCACCTTCTTCGGGGTTCAGCGTAGTCACTCCAACATTCTTCGGCACCTCAGTGACAGTCTCTGGGACATCCGCCGAGTTTGGCGACCCCTCTGTGACCTCCTCCTCCCCATCTGGCACCCCCAGCGCCTCGCCAGGAATCTCCGAAGGCTCCAGAAGACGGCCGTCTTCGGTCACAAACCTGTGCCCGGCCGTGTCTGACGGTGTATCAGCCGGTGGTGGTTGTTCCCTCCGCCTCCGGTGGTGGTCCTCGGAGGTCGTCGCGTAGCCCGTGTAGCCGTCCTCCTGGGATTCGGTGCCGTTCTCAGACTCGTCGTCGTGATAGTGCTCCGAGTGAGTGTCGTGGTCGTAGTGTTTGCTCTTGAACTTGAGCGCCTTCCAATCCCACACTGCGAAAAGAAGGGCGGGAATTAGACGTGAAAAACGATGAAATATAGGTAGCCACTGATTTTGCAGAGTTTCAGTTTCATATGATAAATGTATGGAGTCAGTTATGAGGTATAGTTTCTTAGAAACCTGCCTCCATTTACATTTTTGTTAACTGGCGATCATGGTGTGTATAATTTCTAACAAATTAGTACAATTTATATGTAAATAAATGTCAAACATTACGAAATTTTACCGTTTTTTTTTTGCAGTACGCCTTCGGTACCTAAATGGGATAGTCAATAGTCACATCAAACCAAGCATTCAACTTCGTTTCTCGCACGATATGACGGTAATAAACACAGCTTTGGCTTAGTGGAATTGGTAATCTCTCTTAGAATCTCATCTCTCCGTTATGTAAGGTAAGACTATGAATATGGCAGCCGAACCTATGATTTAGTTAGCTCACGTAGACCCTATCATTCAACATGTCTGCATTGCTGTTCAGTACTCAACGCTCACTATGTCTTTTGATAGTTCCGCGGCATTCGTTGGATGCCACCTACTTCATACTCTGGGGATGTTGTCAGTCCATGACTCGTGTAAGTAAATCAAGAATGTAATATATCAAATGTGATGGTTTCAAAATGTCCAGCTATTACATACTTATGTCGATATCCCTCGTCATTATATGTACGATATGGTGATGTACGATCCAACTGTTTCGAGTGTTCCAAGCTCATACGTTTGGGTTGGTAAAAGAACAACAAGTCGTCCAAAACTTTAATCGTATGCGTATTGCGTGGCTTATCGTAATCAGACGTGCGATCAAACGTAAAAGCGTAAAAGACGACCTCTTGTCACTATGCTTCGGGGTTACACTCGGCATATTCTGCACTGCTCTTATCTGACGCAAACATACACGCGTCTAAAGATTCGCAAACGCTCTTTCAGAGGACCAACGATGGATTTATGCAGTCATTCGAACGCCGCCTGACTGTCTGTGACTGTGTTGTTTGTTTCGATAAATGGGGTAGATTCGCGTTGGCGGGAAGATGCGGGCGACTTGTTGGTGGATGCTGGCTCAGAGATAAGGGCTAGAATGACGACACCGCGATGGTAGGTAGGTATGTAGTAGGATCCTACAGCAGGGGTAGAATCAAGCCTGGATGGTAGAATGCTACCGTGTGTCTATGTTCGCGCTACCGTGTAGGTAATTTTGCTTTTGCGGTGTGGCGGACAGGCTGTTCTGCTACCGCTGAGCCCACCTACTCGTGCAAAAGACGCGGTCCTCACATGGTCACATCGTCTCCCTGCCAAGACCAGCAGACCACGCAATATGGTGACATAGAGTGATATATCGAGCGCGGCCTGCCGGTGACGGTCCCATCATTTACCGGTAACGAAAAATCGCTCGGAACGTTTTTCTCTGTGCATAAAAGACTATTTTTTTCTTCCCTGATGTCATTGCCCAAGCAGAAACATATCCAACAAAACGATGGAATGGGAGACTCGATGAAATCAACATAAGCTGCAAATCACCAAACACAAATCACTTTGCTTCACAAAGCGTCTTGGCCTACACGCTCTACAGATTTCCTTGACTAACTTGAGATCGATCTCGAAATCTGAGAAAGTCCAGCTTGAAGAAGCCCTTATTCCAGGGGCCCACACTACAGAAACTGACGTCAATTGTAGGTCTAGCCGAAACTCTAACCACCGAAGTTTCTACTTTTCACCGTGAGAACCAATCTTTCTACAGCTGTGGACGGTAGCTGGCGCCCTCAAAGTGCTCACCAGAGCAGTGGACACTTGAATAGTAACCAGCGCCCTCAAAGTTCTCTCCTAGAACCAGTCCTGCGTTCGGGATGAGTAAGAGTTCCCCACGGAGTCATACGGCCAGCGCTGACTCGCCGCAGTCGGAGGCCGGCCTTCGGCGAGGCTCTGCTCTACCGACGTCGCTCCCAGCTCAGCTCAGCTCGTGGAGCCAATCTCACCCCGGGGCCCCGTCCAATACGGGATGGCGAGCTGAGCGGAGAGTCCACCCATAGTGTGGTTTTGACAGCCCCCAGCCGCCGCCGCGCGTTAGTAGCGCCATTCAAGGCAACAACAAAACCGACAGTCGCCTCGTGTGTGGTTTGGTGGGATTCCAGAAAAAAAATGGGAAGTTTTGAGTTGTTGGCGGCCTAGAAATTTGTCCCAGAAGGATAGTTTCTAAAATGGAGTCGTTGCAAGTTTATCTCACGAGCCAAGTTCAATGTTAGCTACGAGAAACTCGGGGCCGGCGGGGTAGAGGTGGTTATACTCAAGGCTCTGAGACGGGTGTGGATGGTTATTCGATCAAAGTTATATGGCCTGTCATCGTGAGCTAACAAAATGGGGATTCCATTATTTTCGGCTGGATGTCACTATACAGGGTGCGGCAAAAGTTTTGATACCTTACCATTCTTTCCCTCCCTCCCGTAAAATTAAAACAACAGTTTCATTTCAGCGGTCAATGTATTCTCCACGAAGCTGGACACAGAGTGAGAGACGTGCGGGCATGCTGGCCACCAGGTTCTTCAGAGTCTGTGGGCTGATGCTCGCCCACGTCCTCTTGAGCGCCTTCTCGAGCTGTCCAAGGTTGCTGGGAGGTTTTTTCTTGTCCAGCTCCTGCTGCATTATCCCCCAGAGCTCTTCAATTGGATTCAGGTCAGGGCTGTTCCCTGGCCACGTGTCCTTAGCCCAGAAGTTGGGGAGGTGCTCCCGGCACCACTTCTGCGCTCTGGCAGACCGATGAGCTGGAGCGCCATCCTGCATGAAAATGCTGTCCGACCTGCGCTCGACCATGCGGCGCGTGAGGACGGAGCCCGTCGTGGCTGTCCTGTTGATGGCAGGGAGGCAGACTTCCTCGAGGATGTGCTCCACGTAGTACTCGGCATTGACCGACGTCTTCTGCGGGATCACGTGCAGCTGGCTCAGTCCCTCGTAGGACATCATGCCCCACACCATCAGTGTCGGCGAGAATTTGACGCTGAACGCCTTCGGGACTTCAGCCGGGTTCTCAGTCCACACTCGCTTGTTCTGGCGGTTTGGGTGGTGGAAGAGTTGAAAGGGAGACTCGTCGCTGAAGAGTACCCGTTTCCACTCTTCCACAGTCCAGTTCTTGCGTTCTTTGCAAAACTGAAGCCACTGTGCTCGCTGTTTTTCCGTTAATTTTGGCCTTACGCGGATCTTGTAGGCCTTCAGACCAAGGGTGTTCCTCCAGTACCGGCGGACAGTCCTCTCGGACACCGGATATTTCTTCCGAGTGAGCTGTTTGGACAGCTTCCTCGCCGAGTGACCAGATTTTCCAGCCGCTTTCTTCATCACGATCTTGGCGACGATCGAGATGCTGGAAGGGCGCCCTGACCGCGGTCTATCTGCGACGCTCCCTGCCTCCTTAAACTTCTTCCACCAGCGTTTGATGGTGAGGACTGGGACCCCAAAATGTGAGGCAACGTCCCTCTACGTCTTGCCGGCTTGGAGCATGCCAATGGCGCGGCTGCGAGCCTCCAAACTGTATTGTTTGACCTTCATGGTTCGGCCGTGGCTACTGCAGCGGCCACCGGGTGGATAATGACCCCGGCCGGCGACCCTCTGGGTCGAGGTCAGCTGTTCAGCTAATCCCCGCCTCGGGGAAGGATGCGGGTACGCAAGGGCGCGCTCAGAAATGTCATATTCGGGGGCATGTTGGAAATGCATTGAGTTATTACAAAAAGACGGAAGGTATCAATACTTTTGCCGCACCCTATAATATTTTTGGCTGCATCACCAAGAAACAGCACAGCTTTGACAACGGATGGCACCGAAGGAAGGTACATTTTACCTTCTAGTTCTGAGAGAGCAATAATCAATAATGATCAAAGCATCCATACAGGAAACGATGTCCAATGTCCATATCAAAGGTATAGCACGCTGCGCTGTTCTTTACGTGCCAAATGTCGTACGTGCCTACATTCTGTGACTGGGGCAGCCAGCATATAACCATAGAAATAATCGCCAGAAAATATGAATGACAATACTACATTGATGATGATGATGATGATGATGATGATTTGGGGTTTTAGGGTGCCGGACTGTGGCGGTCTTTGGTGCCCACATTACATGAAACGCCAATATTTCAGAAAGTACAGAATCACATATAAAGAGGCAGTATTAAAATATTTATGTGTGTTAGAGCAATTGCTATATGACAGGCAGATTCATCTTTCGAGTCATCATGCTACGGGCTGCGGTGCGGCTTTCACAGAAAATGAAATGGAAAATAGAGATTCCAACTGTTTTCATTGTGTATGCTAAGTACTGTCTCTCCTGTATAATGCTCTAATCGAAATTCGCTGCCCTAACCTTATTAGTGGCCTAAGTGACCTTCATTACACCTTGTATGGGACATTGGTAGAATTTATCATTGGAATACATAACTATCAACCGTCAGCTTGGAATATCTTGGATTGTTTAGTGAGATGCAAAAGAGGGGCATATGAGACATATCCTCTCAGTAAAATGTGATATGGTAGAAAGTTTAAAATGAACCAGTGAGTTTCATTTTAAAACAGTTACCGTTAAACCTTTATTAGTTTACTTTTATGAGGTTATTTTGTGTATAATATAATTGAAGAACCATTTCCTGCAAATGCTAAATCGGTAAGTCCTGAGATATTGACGATTTAACCATGGGCGATCTTGTGAGTAACAATTTAACTGAGTTTCTTGGTGCGATTAAAACTTCTTATCATTTTCGCGAAAGGTGGCTGTGAATACGACTGAACTTCTGGCCTCTGGGCATAGATAAAAGATCGAGTCCCAGATTTGTTGACATACTACCTCATCACTGAATAGGCAGTCACATTAGAACGAGAGCATGACAAAGTCCACGGCAAACGGGCCACAGCCAGTATAGATGATTTAGCAAAACGGCAAATCCAAACATTCCGATGTGCGGGAACACCTAAGCAGTGTTTTGATTTAGCTTTGATTTAATGTGGTGGTTAATGGGCATGCACTTTGTCCTTATGCTGGTGTATTGATATCTATTATAATGTCTATTATATCTATTACATCTATTATAATCAACGACTGCGCATATTGCATAAGAAGGTCGTACTGTAAAAAAACGATGCAATCATGCTTAGTACAGACCTTCTACGCGGTGTTTACTAAGAAGCGAAAAAGATAATTTAATAGGTGGTTTAAAAATGAATATGTTATAGGATTTGGATCACATTTATCTTCTTACCCTCAAGACAATACGGTTTCGTTCAATAAAATGATAATGCAGGCAACAAAGCGAGAGCATAGAAAACGTAAAACACTGCGTTATTGTCAGAATACTTCTAGCTTACCTTTTACATCCTTATGGTAGCCCTCCTCCTCAATCCTTTTCTTCTCTGCCTTTTCCATTTCTTTCGTTAGCGGTTCCTCATAGATGGCGCACGACTCGAAAGCATGAGTCTCGTGACTGTCGGAGAAGAGGGGAGGGGATGGGGGAGGGCGCTGAAGGTCACGCATAGGTTGACCTCGTTGTCGGAGTATAAAAATAGTAGCAATGGAAGCATATCGTTTGTATGCTGCGCGATGAAACGCTATTTAATGCATTTACGATGCCTATATAACTCAATATGGATGCAAATAATTAAATAAAAAGGTGTCTTCAAATTTAATTGTATCATGGATGGGAACTCACTTAACTGGAATAAGTATTTATGCGTTATAATAATTGCTATATAGTGAAAAGATAAAGACACATCAAATTGGCCAGGCGTGCGGAAGGACAAAGTGAGTAACGTGAAAAAGCACAGCTGGCATTACTTACTTGTACGGAATCCACTGGTATTTGGACCCTCCTTGAGGGTAGGCACAGTAGTGCTTCGGCTCATAGCTCAAAAACAGATCCACAAAAATGTGGATAGGAATAAACATGAAGTTGAGCGCCAGCAGAGCAAACACTATCACATGAAAGCGTTTGCGCTGTGACATAATTTCAAGAGCATCTTGAACCTTCATGATTGCAAATTGACCCTGGACGGATCAAGCACAGAAAATATGAGCCTCTCTCAGAATCACAAGATGTCTGCTTTTGAGCTCTTTTTTTTAGATCTTTCGGCTCTTTTGGTTATTCGTTGCTACTTATTGCACGTCATGTTTTCTATCTCGTGTTGTTCGTAGGCAGCCGTGCTGTTCGAGGAGGGATCCAAGAAAGCCAGGGTGAACACCTGAAAAGGACAGGAGCTTCGTCATTCTATGATCACAGTTGCATCTGGAATTAAACAATTTTATTCGGTATGCAATACACTATACAGTTTTCTTGTTCAGACGTTATAGCTAAAAGTGACAACTGAGCTACTGTGGATTAAATTTCCATGCCACAATAATGCACAAAACGAAAAGAAAGACTGAAACTTCTTTCTCTTGAATGAGAACCAAATATTTGCTAACATATCGCTAGAAACTTAGCAGTAACGCATAATAAGCCAAACAATGTAAATTTTGGGATATGACAAAAATAAAGAGAAGTGGAAAGAAAAACGTCGCAGGAAACAAATGAAAACGAAGCTGACAATATCTTGACGCCAGATAGGATTAAAAATGTTAGTATGGACTAGGAACGACTTGGGATAGCACAGTGGGTCAACTATCGTGTCGGGGCAGCTGACTTGTTTCCAATAGCATTAACGATATTGATCATCCAACAACATAGGTAAGACCTCTGTCTATTCGTAAACTTGGGAAGCAAGTTGTTTTCGATGCAGATCTGGTTAAATGTAACAGCAGCATTTGTCCTGATTAAGTCTTCTAACTAGAATCCATTGGAAAAGACTTAATCAGGACAAATGCTGCTGTTACATTTAACCAGATCTGCACCTCTGTCTATGCTGCGTAATTATTTGAGTAATAGCCATATGTATTTGCAATGACAATACACCTAAATTAAGGCACATTTTTCTTCCTCTCTGATTTATAAGCGCGTTGTCTGTAGAACAATGGAAGCTCTGTAAAAAATATGCTAAATCGAGTTAACACCTATTGACTGTATATATTGACGAGGTAAATTCCACGCCAATTAGACATTGCTTCATATCCTTACCGATGCGATCCCATTGCAAAATTCCTCGAAGTCGGGGAAATTTTACAGCCCAAATTTATCGTGCCGACAAAGCCGGGAACGGTACATTCCACCCACTGACTTCATCTGCAGATGCGGCAACCGCAGAGCAGACTTATACACCCTTCTGAACTCTGGGCTCAAAGTCTTAGAGCCAGGGCGACTGGAATCACCGCTCTCACCACCTGAGTTTAGCGTCCTTCCAGCCATGCAGTGGTGCGGTATCTTATCGTATTGGATTTCCCTTTTCGCCTCGCTCGATTCTGCCGTGTGACTAACAGATGTTCCGTTAGCTGGACAAGATCAGTTTACAGATGTACAGCGGGGCTTAGGTTTCCCGTTGCAAAGTGAAGCGAGTCTGTGAATCAGACCGACCTACTAAAGAAGTCTTACCGGAAAACATGGCCGGGCTCCTTCTTCTTGGAAGGCTAAAAGTAGACTTCATCAAGGAAGGAAGGAAGGTTCTCCCAGGCTTGGGTATTTCATGAAAAATAAACAAGCACCATATTTTCGCCGAATCACTATGAAGATGATATCCATCATCTACTTCACCCATGAAAGTGGGATTTCATCCGTAGAGTTGGCGACAGCGCTACGTTTTGAAGCCGATTGAAATGTAAATATTAGCGTGATCGATTTTATCAACAAGAGATGATGACTTTTAACTGGTCATTGCTCTAATGGCGCAATAACGCCCAGACACATTAATCCACGTAATTACAACGTTCACACAAACACATTGAAATCTGATCGATACATGTGCATTGCTGCGTCCATAAAAGAACGTTCTTGCTGACAGTCAAAGCAAGTGACAGCGAGCAACGGAAATGATTTCCGTAGAAAGATATATGAAAGAAAGTCGATAGTATCTCCAGCGAGAACGCTGTAAAGCGCGAAGCCCGCGCACAATATTGTCGTGATTGATTCTCAGTCACAAAGGCTGACCAGTTTCGGCTAGCCTCCAATATTAGGTTATATTGTACGCGTTGCATAATGCATATCCGGCGACAGAGACATCCCAAAGAAAATTGGATGTCAGTGATAAAGAAAACTTCCAAAGCGGTTACTCAGGCCCCTGACAGTCTAATGGACACAGGAAAATACTTAATTTGTTGAAGATGGGACCTATTATTCAAACTAATTACAGTCGTATATGTAAAGATGTTTGCCTTTGTTAAGTGTCAACAGCATATCGTTTGACTGCAACCGTTATTCAATCCCGGAATTTATGGCATTGGTACCTAAATATGCTCTTTGAAGACGTCTCATTTTCGTCAATTGTTATCTTTATATCAAAGCTTAGACATTTCCTATTTATCATAACCAAATTGCAGCATAATATTTTCAAACAACAACGGAGTCGAGTGTGTCAAGAGGAAGGAAAAGTGTATGTGAGAGGAGAGATGGAGAGAAAAAGAGATTAAAAAGAAAGAAGAGATTGTTACGAGAGTGAAAATGTGGAGAGGGGAAAAAAGGGAGGAAGCGAGAGAGAGAGAGAGAGGGAGAGAGAGAGAGAGAGGGAGAGAGAGAGGGAGAGAGATATGAAGAAGGAGAGGGATAGGGAGAGGGGGAGAGAGAGATAGAGAGAGAGGGAGAGAGGGAGAGAGAGAGAGAGAGAGAGAGAGAGAGAGAGAGAGAGAGAGAGAGAGAGAGAGAGAGAGAGAGAGAGAGAGAGAGAGAGAGAGAGAGAGAGAGAGAGAGAGAGAGAGAGAGAGAGAGAGAGAGAGAGAGAGAGAGAGAGAGAGAGAGAGAGAGAGAGAGAGAGAGAGAGAGAGAGAGAGAGAGAGAGAGAGAGAGAGAGAGAGAGAGAGAGAGAGAGAGAGAGAGAGAGAGAGAGAGAGAGAGAGAAACCCTAAAGATCCTCCATTGGTCCTCACCCCGAGCTCCTTCGTACTCTCGCCTTCTGTTCGTATCACTCTATCTCACACAAGCACAGCTCCCCTCACCCGCCACCCTCCACGCCGTCTCGCGGTCAACTGGCTGCAGCGCGTGCTCCGAACGCGTCCGGGGCATGGGGCATGGGGGATGGGGGGGGGATGGGACGGACCGGCCGCCGGCAGTAGGAGGTAGCTTGGTGCACGGTTTGACCACCAGATGTGTGTGTGTTTTTTTTTTTTTGTTGGGTTAGGCCCTTTTGGTCTGACAAGACCATTGCAGAGCCGGAAGGATGATAGGAATTAGGGGGAGACATTGGTCTGGGCAGGCACCCTAGTGAGTCGCCGGGGCTGAGCCCGTCCAGAGGACAGGCCACCCAGCCCCAAGGCACTCACTGCACCCGGCTACGGGGTGCGCTCCCTCAGGAGCAGCGGTGCCGCTCCAGGGGAGCAGCCCGCATGAGATAAAGTTGCCTGTCCAGCCCGGAGGGCGGTTGCGGCGTGGAGGAGAAGGATTTCAGTATCCTGAGGATAGAAGCACGGAACGGTGGAGACCACCAGAGCAAACGGTGGGGGGTGACAGAAGATCTTGGTCTCGTAACAAAGTGTTTCTAGACACTAATTTGAAGGTAGGTACGGAGTTGGTGTTACGCATGTGTGTACCATGATTATCTATTCTTTCCAGTGAATATTAACCCGCGCACCGACGGGGGTCTGCGCCAACTTCGCACCGACGGGGGGAGGGGGGCGGATGACCGCCCCCCCCCCTGAGATCTCGAGAACGAAGCAAGATAGCGACAAGCGGTAAACGGCATCGGATACGCACGGACAAGGTCTACAATTTTTACAAAAGTCATTTTCAGGTCAGGTCAAAGATGACGTCACAGGGGTCGAAAAAGTCAAAATGGCGGCGCTAGATATGGAGAGAGTTTTTCTCGAATAACTTTCGAATTAGTCAAGATAGGAACAAACTAAGGGCATCATCGTGATCCTCTCGTCAATCCGCATCGAATGATATATATGTTGACCTCGAAAGGTCAAGGTCAAAGGTTGACCTCAGGTCACCTGACCTCGAGGTCATCATGTATATCATTCGATGCGGATTGACGAGCTGAACACAATGAGACCATCTGCGCGGCTGTATCTTGTTCCTGTACGGAGTTATTGGCAAAAAACCGCTGGTGACCTTTGATGACGTCACATGACCTTACAGCTGCCCAACAGCAAAACAGAACTCAAGGTAGTGAAGGTTGATCGTATATGAAGTCATGTATGGTATATGGGGCCATTCCGACCCGTTTTAGTGGTAAAAACAGGGAGTTGATTTTCCCCCCATTGACTTATAATGGGGAGGTCGCGAAATTGACCTGACCTTAGGTCACCGACATCAAAATTCTGAGATAAACAAATTGTAGCTACTAATGACCTTATAACATCCTGCGACTTTCAAAGGCCTCCGACATCCGCTGTAGCTCTGGCACGGTGACAAAGTTGCAAAAAAGTGACTTGAGGTTGGGTCATTCAAGGTGACCTGGTGACCTGACCTTATAAGTTAGGAGGTTCAAACTTGCACACCATGTGCAAAATTGATGAGAGAATAGTCGTACCAAATTTCGCGGCGCGTAGCGCCGCAGTTTTTCCGCTATCCGCGAAAAACCTCAGGGGGGCAGGGGGCGGATATCCGCCCCCCCCGTCGGTGCGCGGGTTAAGAACAGACATCTTTCGAAGCATATCATAGGCTCTCATTACGGAGCGAGCGAAGCGAGCGTAGTCTTTCCTTATATTAACGGAAATTTCTGAGTATGAGCGGCCGGCCGGGGCCGTGCGGACGCTTTTGTGAGGCTTATATCTCAGCAACCACTTGACCGATTTACACGCGGTAATTTTTGTAGGGTAGCTTCATTCCTTCTACCAAGTATTGGACTATTCCCGATGCATGTGGGTGACCCCTTATGCACGTGCCACGTGCAAAACGAAGAGGTGTCAGTTTTGTAATTGTTGCAATATCTCGGTAACTACAAGGCCGATTGCGCTTGAAGTTGGCTTGAAGGTAGGCACCCACTAGGCACTGCATATCCATGTGCCAGAGTTGGGGTGCTGCTGCACGTGCGCACGTGCAGGGGTCGTTTCCAGATCTCGAGAACGGCTCGACCGATTGCGCTCAAATTTGGTACACAGTTAGGGACCGGTTAATAGGGTGCCGTGCACAAGTCAGTTGGGACCCATTTTGCACGTGCGCACGTGCAGGGTGCCGCTTCCAGATCTCGAGAACGGCTGGGCCGATTATGCCCAAATTTGGCACATCGCTAGAGACCGGCTAGTAGGGTGCCGTGCACAAGTCAGTTGGAGGTACCCCTTCGCAATTTCGCACGTGCAAGGCCCACCCTCCCGCTCGCTCCGTTAGTCGCCCCAAAAGGCGTTATACTGGTTTTAAGATCTTGTGCTGAACGGCATCCATCTTCAGCAAAGTCAGCATGGATTTATGGTAAATCCATGGGCATCATCTGAGTGCTAGGTAACTTAGGAAAGGGTCAATGAATTAGATATCAAGAGGCAGAGAGCAAGGGTCAAGGTCAACGCTACGTCAGAATGTCATGTTAAAAAAAACAAATTTATCTAGATATCTACGCAAGTCGCGTTGGCTAAACGCATTATTTATTCCTAATTTGAGGAATTGAAAGTTAAATTGTGACATTTATTGCACCTGTTGTGCAAAACACCTAGCATAAAACATAATTCATTGTATCATCTGCGCCACTGCATGGATCGCCGATGTAATAACCTGTCGACGAAATATGGTGCCAACTCAGCTGGAAAATGTGGTCACAGGATAATTGTCCAGCCACTGGGTTTTCTACGTCTTTTTATCAGACGCAAACATAATTATTGTTAGACGTGCAGAATGGAGGTAATCGAATGTTCTGCTGTGGTGTCCGTGCCGTCGCGGGTAATAACGCAGCGGATAGTTACAGCTGCCAATTAGACTGCGACATGGCCCTTTATATGCCCTATATTGCCGGGTCAGGTCAGGTCAGTCGGGTCATCAGAGCGGGTTTGTGGAACCCACCTAAGAGAAGTTTGCAATCACGCCAGAGCTTTTTACGGAATATTTTTACTCTATTTTTTTTTTTTTAGGGCAACGGTAGGTAGGTTTATCTAATTACGGAGCGAGCGAAGCGAGCGTAGTCTTTCCTTAGATTAACGGAAATTTCTGAGTATGAGCGGCCGGCCGGCCGGCCGTGCGGACGCTTTTGCGAGGCTTATATCTCAGCAGCCACTTGACCGATTTATTTCATTCATTCATTTATTCATTTTCATTTATTCACAGTATCACCCACGGGAAAAGCCCATTTACGGGTAAAGTCACATAGGCATAGGTACACTGATCATACAAACACGTAATAAAGGTATACAATAAATGATACAAAACAGACCGCAATCTTGCGACACACGGCAACATCATTGGTCTGTGGGAAAGGCGCGGGAGGATAGCTGAGCAGCGTAAGACTTAGCTGTTTTCCTCACTGTGGCTAAGGAGTCCGTAAACAGGTCTAGCTGGTTGTTTTCACGCAGAAATTCATTTGCGAGCCTCGGCACCCTACAATAGAGCCCATTCTTGATGGTTTCGACTCTGGCGAACGGCACGGCGAGCAGATCACGGCGGCGAGCTGATCGAGGCGGGACGGCGAGGCCAAAATGAGATCGCAGGGAACTGGAGTCAATTTTGTGCTTGAAAAGACGAGCTACATAAACCAAGTCATGTTGCACCCGTCGTGCTGCCAGAGAAGTGAAAGAATGTGCCGAAAGAAGATTTTCGTAAGAGAGAGAATCCGAGTTGGTGACAGAGTTAACTGTAAGCCAAATAAGGAATTTATGCTGGATTCGTTCTATGCGATCCGTATGTGTTCTCGCCGCTCCGCCCCACACAACACTGCAGTTCTCGAGAACCGAACGTACATTGGCGAAGTATGCTGAGGTGATAGCGCCAGTGTCATACCTAATTCTCGCTCCGGCTTGGAGTGACCGAATCAACAAGCCGAGTGCTCTATTGCCCGCCGCGACAATCGAATCAACATGCCGCTCGAAGGTGAGTTTCTGGTCCAGAGTAACTCCCAGATCGCGCATAGTGGTGACGCGATCTAACGTCACTCCACCTATTCTATAGGGACTGATGATGGGTGACCGTTTGAGAGTGATGGTAAATGACTTGCACTTTGACGCATTTAGTTTTAATCTCCAGGATGACGACCATTCTACTAGGCGGGTGAGATCGTCATATTACAGCACGGCATCTGCATCTGTGCGTACCTCCCGGTAAATCTTCACATCGTCAGCGTACATCAGGCATTCTGAGTGAACATACGATGACAAATCATTAATATGTAAATGCAATGAACAAGAGGGGAGAAATCAGGCTACCCTCCGGCGTGCCCGAAATCACCGGAGTCCAAGCAGACGTTTGACCGTCTAACACCACCCGCTGTTTACGGTTTTCTAAAAACGAGCCTAGTAGTGCAAGAGCACGGCCGTTGATATCGTACGATTTGTGCAGCTTGTGTAACAATAGACGGTGGTCAACACTTTGGAAGGCGGCAGAGAAGTCGGTGTATATGCAATCAAGCTGGTTACCGTTTGAGATTGCCTGCCAGCCTGCACGGACAATGTGACATAGGTTACTTTCGCAACTACGATGTTCGATAAAACCGTGCTGTTTCTCAGACAGAACACCGCGAACGTGCGCATACAGTGACTCATACACTATCCTCTCCAAAACCTTGCCAAACAACGGTAGAAGTGAAATCGAACGATAGTTTGCCGCCACTTTTGTTGATCCTTTTTTATGTATGGGAACAATATTCGCCTCCTTCCACCTGTCCGGAAAGACCCCAGATGACAGTGACTGCCTGTACAACATGAACAGCGGCACAGAAAGCTCGGCAGAACACTCACGGACTATTCGCGCGCTGATGCCGTCCGACCCGCACGCTCCTTGGGTCAGCACCTGACCTCGATCTTAGGTCATATTCTAAAATTGACCTAAAAGTCATCAAAACGGTGATTTTTGTAGGGTAGTTTCATTCCTTCTACCAAGTACTGGACTATTCCCGATGCATGTGGGTGTATGCACGTGTATGCACGTGCCACGTGCAAAACGAAGAGGTGTCAGTTTTGTAATTGTTGCAATATCTCGGTAACTACTTGGCCGATTGCGCTGAAACTTGGCATGTAGGTAGGCACCCACTAGGCACTGCATATCCATGTGCCAAAGTTGGGGTGCTGCTGCACGTGCGCACGTGCAGGGGTCGTTTCCAGATCTCGAGAGCGGCTGGACCGATGGCGCTCAAATTTGGTACACGGTTAGGGACCAGTTAGTAGGGTGCCGTGCACAAGTCAGTTGGGACCCATTTAGCACGTGCGCACGTGCAGGGTGCCGCTCCCAGATCTCGAGAACGGCTGGGCCGATTGTGCTCAAATTGGGCACATCGCTAGAAACCGGTCAGTAGGATGCCGTGCACAAGTCAGTTGGAGGTACTCCCTCGAAATTTCGCACGTGCAAGACTCACCCCCTCGCTCGCTCCGTTAGTCGCCCCAAAAGGCGCTATACTGGTTTATATATCTCATATTTTTATACCTATCTGTGGCCTGAGATCGTCTGTCAGCTTAAGAGGTTAAGACTTGTAAATGATACCAAACTGTTTACCTGGCAATGACGTGTCGATTGGTTTGTAGCATGAGCTCCTTGGGTCAGCACCTGACCTCGATCTTAGGTCATATTCTAAAATTGACCTAAAAGTCATCAAAAACATGTTTCGAGCAGTCTCGACGAGGGTAACACGATATTGCCCATTTTATGTCTCATTTATTATTAGTTCAACAATGTATGCTAAAACAAAAAGTTACGCAGTGTCTCAAAACATTTTATTTTGTATGGTTTCTGGTCACTCCAGAACATCTTATGTTTGATGACTTTTGGTCACATCAATATTGAGCTGGCCCCAAAGTATTAAAATGAAAACATAAAAGCTGTATGACTTTCAACGAACTTCATCAAACGAATTTTTGAAAAGCTAATCAAATTTTAAACTTGATCAAATTGAAAATCTTTCTCTAAGTTTAGGTATAAGGAAACTCACGGCTCAGTTTTGTCCGACTTCGTAGCGCAGCGAAAAGAAGAAGCGTTTGACGCTTTCCTAACGCAGTCACAGGCGACGTCTTGTAGCAGTGAGTAAATAATCATTTCTAACTTCACAAAGAAGTAGATTGCCTGGACAATGTTTGAGAATCTGGCTGCGGTTTCCCACGAGCATGCGGTGCGTAAAATAACAATTGTAGCGAAGGAAACGTAAGGAAAAAAATCGTGGCAGGGAAAGTCTTATACGTATAGTGGGTGGGTATTCAGAATGCGGGTATAGTGAGAGTTGTAATACAATAAACGTGCACATACATACGTGTTATCTGCCCTATTGATAACCTACTTAGACATCTTATTTCCATGTAGTTCCTCTGGTTCTTGCACATACACATGTGTAGTTGGTGCAAACTGTTACGGGGAATATGAGGTCTGGGAAGGGAGCATTTGCAGCGCTCGCCAAAGTCAGCACCGTTTGATTGCATACTCGTAGATAACTCGCCCGTTATCTCGCCTAAACTCTGACGAGGGATGCGATATCTGGGAAAGGAGCATTTGCAACTAACTGCAGTTGTCTAGATTTGTGCGCAGATGACGATAAGAAGGCGTACCGATCCGAGAGGAATACCTACGTAATGCACGCTTGTATTATGCGAATTCAGTAGCCCGATGTTGGGGGCGAAATCAATGCAATCTCTTCGGCTACATCCATTTTCATCGGCTTCGTGATATAAACGGAAGACCGTTTAAAATGCTAGGACATATCATGGTCCTTTGACCGTCAATTCTGGTCTTGGAGTCGCTTAGAGACGATCTTATGATGTATTCACATCTTACTGACGTCTCACATAAAGACATTGACTAATGTGAGTGCATATGACATTCGGGAATAGATTAATAGATTGACGAATCTACCGAACGGAGGGTAGCATCTCGTTACCTTCATCTTTCAGGTGCATATCTCTCATGCTATGACATATTCTATCCGGGATTAATGAACAATGGAAATGCGCATTTCGCTAGCAAAATGGTAGTCAATGCGCATCATTAACCTTCACATTACCAGGAAATTCAGCAACCGGCTTATCTCAGCTAATTTTAATTTGTGAGTCCGTTATATAATTTCGTAGACGGATAAAGTCCAAGCATCACTAGCTCATTTTGAGCTATTGAGCACTCATGCGTGGAGGCCACGCTGGCGTGGAGGTCAACGAGAAGGCAGACTGGCTGGCGGGCAATGGCGCGCCCGCTACCAGCAGGATCGTCCTCTCGGCTTCCGACTTCCAGCAACTACTCAAATTCAAGATGGAAACTGACGATGCCAGGAAGCCAAATCCAGGAGAAGCGGAAGTCGGGAGGATGGCCCGTGTCGATCTGAGGCCGGGCTGGATCGCGAGATCGGGCCTCTGCGGCCCCCGTGGGAGGATGGCGTGCCAGCTCGCGTGCGGGACGGTGTCTCGTCGAACCCTGGCTAACATCTGCACGTTGGGAGGAGCGGAGACGGCATGGAGGCGGATCTTCGGCTCCCGTTCCCTCGACGAAGCTGTCGCCGAGGAGTAAGTAAGTAAGTAAGAGCACTCATTGATCGTTCCATGCTAATTTCTTCTGATAAAGATTCAGTACAGTGTATGATTAGCAACCCAGATCAGGAATGCGATCTCTTTTTGCACATCTGATTCCTACCTATCGAAAAGAGTCAGGCTAAACGGAAGGCACTGTAGGTACTTTCACGGCTGTCGGCAAGGGAAAGAAATGTTTGCAAAATAAGCTGGACCTCATATCACCAGCAAGCATGTACTCTGGTTTGAATGCAAGTGTTTTATAAACAACTAAAAAGGCACAGCCAGGCTCGAGACTCGCAAAAGTATGTAGATATCATCTGAATCTGGGACTGGGTAAAGCCGGCGACACTCGCGTGGCCTAGGAGCTCAGCGATGCTACCGCCACCTACGGTACTCTCGCCACACTAGCGCCACCACCTACCATTGCACTACATACAGGAACACCTCCTTACAGGGTGCGTCCTGTCAGCATCATAAGAGGCTCAGCTACAAAATAGACAGCATCCTGAAGCGATTCAATGCTTGAAAATTGGTTCATACTTTGCTGGAAAAGCTGCCATTGGAAACGAGAAACCAAAACTTAACTCACTATTCACCCGACCAATCATAGGTTGAGTGAACAGTACATACATCCGAAAGTCGACATTTGTACCGGTTTTCCAAGGCTAGCCAGGTCAAACTTACGGCCTACCATTTAAGGTTGTATGTCGGTAGGATAAAATAAAATACTTTTGAACGCCGTTTGCCTAACTCCTAGCACTACATGCCCAGTGGCCCAGTGAAAATGTGAAGGCACCCTCCCCCCTCCAGTCTTGATGTGCTGCGATCGGATCACAGGCCCTGGCGTGAGTTAAATTTGTTTGGACGTCATTGCCATTCGCCATTCTCAAATCACTACAGACCAACAAACCACGCACACCTTCAGCTCAAACAAAAGACGATCGTTTTTCCATTTATTATTCCTATTAATTTACTACATTTTATACACAGATCATGAGCCTCGTACTGTCTACAGCGACCCTATGACCTGGTCGGAACCTGGGTCCCCGCTCCTCCCTCCCTCCCGCCCTCCAGGCACCAGTGGACTAGGTCTGTGTTTTAACATGCGGGGCGAGAGACACGGGGTCTCCACGCAGCACAGACGCCCGACGGCTCGCCTGCGCGCCCGCCACACCTTGTACTGGCCGGAAAATGATGATCGCCGCGCCGCCAGTCTCTTCTGCGTCACTGCTCGTCAGCTGACATAGAGTCATCACCGAGCGAACAGCGACGGCGAGCAAAGTACGAATTGAGCAACGAAGGGCGGTGTGTGTACGAGACTGGCCGAGAGCCATCGCTTCCATCGCTTCCACCGCCATCGCCATCGCCATCGGTGCCAACATCGCCATCGCTTTTTGAGCATGCTACAATGTCACAACGATCGATGATGAAACAAGTCATAGGCCCGGTGTGTTTGTTTACATTAAATCAGCGCGAAGTTGAGGTGACAAGATGTCGGAAAGGTGTCTTTTAAAAACACCCTAGCTAGTAAATTATGGGCCAAAGTATGCAGGCGTCTAAAATGACACGTTGATGCGGAACCAGCGACTCCAACGGCACTAAAAATACAAGTGAACTATTGGAGCGCAAATACTAGCCGCACCCGATCAATGCATGCCTGGATTTCAGGTTGGCACTCGGCGCGCACAGACGCTCTATTATTCATAGCTTCGGGTCTAATTGCGCCCCGGTGAGAGAGGTTTGCGCTCGCAAATGCACACACCCACCAAATCAATGGCCTCCGGACAAAAACATATTCAAAACACACCTGGCCGAAAATGAGAAACTTGTTTTGATCGTCACATCGCTCGCAAAAACAGCGGATGGCGGCGATGGCGGTGACGACGGCGGCGGCGTCGGCGGCGGAGGCAGTCGACAAAAGGTGGCAATTTTCCGTCGGCGCGCGTCAAAAAGAGGCACTGATAAGGCACCAGGCAGGTAGAAGGCACTGTTTGCAGCAGCGGATATTGGGCTCGGCCGGCCGACTGGCGGGCTGGCACCTCGCGGGCGCCTGACTAGATCCACCGTCGGTCGGACGCCCCCGCAGCGCCCCACGGCGCCCCTACCGCGCCCCCCGCGGCGCCCGCGACCCTTAGCTAACCACCCACCCAGTCGCTAACGCCGGCAGCTCGGTGGCTCAGCGCACGTCCGTGCGAGTGCTTATGTACAGTTGCTTCCTGTCCCAGCCCCGCGGCTCGGCGCTGCGAGCACCCGATCGCCCGGCATCTTACCCTAGATAGCCTAATCTAACACATGATGGGTAACATTAAACACGGTCCGGCGTGTCGACCGCAGGCCGAATGACCTTTCACTGCGCATCGCACTGCGCCCCGGCCTTCGCTGGCACGTAACATACGCATATATATGTGGCTCTAACACCTCGAGCAGGCAGGGAAGGTGTCTCTGTAATGTCGATTGCCGCGGCGCCCCTAGAACGCCCCGAGGCGTGAGGTGACCTGACCTCGGAGCTGGATGGACGGGACAACGAACCTTCCGCAACATCACAGTTAAAAATACAGATGACAATATAGAAAAGACGTTTAAAAAGCATAGATATACGCGATTCGAGCGGCCCATGAAATCGGAGTCGTGGCTTTAGAAAGGGATCCTAAACGGAGCCATGGAATATATTATGCTATCTTAATCAGCTCTGTCCGCGCTGATGTATAAGGACGATCATTGCCTGTCAACAACTAACACCTGCATAAACAGTTGTGCAGACTGATACACCTAACCTGCAACAATGATAACCTATGGAAATTTTGAGGCTCATGTAACAAATCGTTTGTGGAGATACTGCATCGCTATCCGGTAGGTAAAATTTACACTAGATGGCCACTCTCAGACCTGACAACTCGCCGACCTGTTGCCATGACAACATGCATCCATCAGTCGTCGTCATAGCAACCAGCTTGTTGACCGCATGAGCAGCCGTATTCTCCACAATCTTCTCTCCCGCCTCGCCAGCTCTCCAGAACTGTCGAGCTGACTTCGGGACCTCTGATGACGTCACTGGGCGTCTGTCGAGCCCCCCCATCCCTCCCGTCACCCCCGGCCTTTGGCTGGCCGACGGACTGGGGATGGCGAGCGCAGCTCGGGCGACGCCAGCGCCTCTAGCGGGCGTCGTCATCACTGCATGCGGGCCTCCTGGGCTGCGGCGGCGGCGGCGGCGGCGGCAGCGGCGTACTGAGAGCCGGCCAGGGAGAGCTGCTGCGCGCCCAGGGCGGAACTGACTGGCACCTGATAGCCGGCGTACTGGGGCAGGAACGCGTTCGCTGAAACGGAGCGAACAGACTCGTTAGAATGCAGCAACAATTGCAATTACAATCAGCATCGGTTCAGTATCAACAAATATGGGGTTAATGGGAGCTAGAAACACAGCCAAAGAGCGACCACGCATCGGCTATAAAAAGGAACAACTGCAGTCACAAAGCACGGGTCATAAATGCCACTGACAAGTCAGAGACACATCTACCTCACATGGCCATGACAGTTAGCACATGACACTATGACAGTCAGGCATCAGACATGAGCTGTGAGACCTTGAGCTTGATTCTGACAGCGGCATACTAAACGATCGGAGTACAGGTGACACCAACGGTACAAAATGACGCCCACATTTACCCCCTCCCTAGCAGAGCACTCAGCACTCCGGTCCCTCAGTATCCAATATCGACAAGTCACTCCCATCCCCAAATTTACAACATTTCATGTGACAGTCACCGCAAGTGGTTGTACTTCGCGCCGGCTTGTCGCATTCTCTCCTTACTGCGGGCTCGAGCCCCCCTATTCGAGTCCATATCGATCGATAACGTGAAACAGGCACAGCTGTGCAGAGGCCCGGCCTCCACCTGCGCTGTAGAGCACGACGGCATGCGGCACGGAGGTCACTTCATGTGTGACTTGAAAGCCCGAAAATCTACGGTTAACTAACGTTGGGGCGTCGCACCTCGCAACGGACAATGTGAATACTGTCATTTGAAAGGAATAGCTTCACCGCTTACGGAAGAAGAGAAACTTTCAGCTACATCTGAAATTTAAATAGTTTAGACTAGTCAGTGGTCAGCCTGTAGGTGGTCAGCGTATTTAAACCTATCAACCATCGTCCGTCCCCAAGCTACCAACCGTCTACGTCCTATCTTACACCCAGTAACCCACCTCTGTCCTCATCTACCCGAAGCTGTAATCAGCAGCCCGCTATCCCCATCCTTCTCTCCTTATCCTACATCCTACTCGCCTTTTTATCGGCCACCGCCTCTGACCTCCAACGCACCTCCCACCACCCCTACCACCCATCCATCAGCAGCAACACCTTCTCAATCCCACACCACACCAACCTGCCATTTTCTCCTCCCTTCTATAAACTGTCCACACTGCCTAACCAACACCCACAACGCCCATCGTCTCCTCTTTCATCACCTACTGGGCATCTTCTCCAGCCTCCCGCTGCCTACCCAATATCCACCACCACCCCATCCTCCCCCTTCACCACCTACCTGCCACCTGAGAGCTGTACGGATCAGCAGCCGCGGCCGCCTGGAACGCCCCGGCCGTGGCATACGGCTGGTAGTCGTACATGGGCTGACCGGCCGCGCCGGGGCTCAGGGCGCTGGCAGACAGGCCGGCTAGCAGAGGGTGGTTGGCTGACATGTAGGGAGACTGGTACATGTACTGCGGGTTCTGCAGCCTGTAAAACAGAGAGGGGAAAGAGAGTCAGTGACAGTGTCAGGGGTAGGTGTCAGTGGCAGTGGCAGTAATCATTAACTAGTGTCAGGGATGGGTATCGGGGGTGGGTGTCAGTCGATAGGTGACAGTGATCATTGATTAACTAGTGTTAGGCAGAGGTGTCAGTGTCGATGTCAGGGACTAGTGTCAGGGATAAGTGTCAGTGTCAAACGCGGGTGGAGCGTGTAATGTACGTTGTATATTATGCACAACATGTAATGTAAGAAGGAATGAAGAGAGGACGGGTAAATACGTCAACGATAGAACTCTGACACAGATACATAACTTGTCGCTGCACAGAGAACAGCGAGTTGAAAAATGTGACATCCCCGCCGCCGGTACCAGAGCTGTGACAATCGCGCCGCCCATCTCTCTGGCGGAAACGAGCAACTTCCGGTCCCTGTGTGTAGACTGTCGGTCCGCGGCCGTGGCTGCAGCCGCCAACGTACGTGCATTGGCAATGCATGTAATCGGGAGATCAGGCGACTGTATAATTATCACAAAATCGGTCTTTATCCAGAATGTTCAGCTTGGCATGATAAAAATAATTCGTATATGGCCGCCTACTCGATACACAGTGGTCAATCGTCCGCAGCATGTCTAAATATGCCAAAGAAGCTTAAGTTCAAAGACGCCCAAAACATCTAACTGCCATAGACGCCCAAGGTCCAAAGAAGCCCAACTTCCATAGAAGTCCAAAGTCAAAAGACAGTCCAACGTCCAAAGACGTCCAGGCGTCCAACGTCCAAAGACGTTCCAAGTCCACTGTGGCCCACTGTCCAAAATATGTCCATTGCGCCCGTCCCCCCCCCCCCGCCCTCCCCCTCAGCAGTTCGATCCAAACACCCTGCGGGGTACTGAGCCTAACTCGGCGCCGTCTATTGCCGCCATAAGCTGTGATTACTGTGCGCTGAACGCAGTCCGAACAGCCAGCTGCGCGGCTCTATAGTGCCGCTAAGGGGCGTGACGGGCCGCGGCAGGACGACGGATGTCGGGTCGATTCTGTGGACTGGTATGTGTAGAATATTGCCAGAGACCTGGGTAGAAATGGGCTATTGTATGTTAAATGATGGTCGCTGTTTTAGGTTATTAGCAGACAATGCTGGTTTTATGGTCCAAATCAAGTTAACGATTGAACGAGTAAAAATCCCATAAAACTGGTCACAAAGCGACTCTTTTTTGGCTTTTGGTTTCTCCTGCGTCATACGACAAAATCACAGAACTGAAATTCAATCAGGTAAGCATGAAAACCCGAGCACTAAATATCCTGGCATTCCCGATACCAACATTTTCGCAGCCGCTATTCGTCGCTGACGGCTGGCGCGACAAATGAAGGCGCACATGCGCCACTCATGGCGCACCACCTCGCCGTGATCGTCGCACAATGACCACCACCCAATGATCCACCTTATCAATAAATAAACGTCAGCCAGCGGGTCACTAATGCCCCAATACACCGCTACAGCCTCTGAATCATGAACGAGCTACCCCTGGGGCGCTAGCTTGTGGGCGGGGCTTGGCGTGTCGGCCCGTGGGCATCCTCTCCCTCCCCTCCCCACTCAGCCCTCCCTTTCGTGGGAGCCAGCCGCTGAACGAAGACAGGAACGTTATTTATCCATAGGGATGGAGGTGATCACTGCAGGTCAATCACTGGAGTCGAGGAGCCCCGGAAGGCAGGTAGAAATACAGGGATAGCTATTCCAGCCCTTCTAGCTAAGCCTGCATTCTGCAATCGAACACTTCGTGCCATGCGCCATCCCAAACGCATAAGAAGCGAGCAGTTGTGAGATCAGGAGCGCTCTGTCAAAGTTAAGGTATGCATCAATGGCTGGGACGTTTTTTTTTTTAGCTACAATATATAACATGTGGTTTTGATTCGCGCTGTGCTTTGCTCAACAATAGCAGTTGACTTCAATTGCCTTAAGCTCTCTTGGCCACCGCAAACAAAATCAAATTTTCAGCAGCCACAACATTTACGACTCCGCATCGCATGTCAGCCGGGCTTTACCAATTTCACGTGTTGACTTAAAATTACAGTGCGGCCACTCGGTCCAGTCAGTCGGAGCGTGTTATACAATCGCTCCTCACTGCCAGGGACTGCCGGCGGGACACGACCCGCGCTGTGCAGCGACCATTCCCGCCCCTCGACCCCGGGGGCATTTCCATGCGGTCGATCGGACCCGCGGCCAGGAAACCGACCTGCAAAATCACACCAGCAATGGCCCACCACTGCACAGAGTGCGGCGAAATTCGGCCCTGCAGCGGGCCGGCTGCGTTTAGGGCAGTACAGCTCGGAGGTAGACCGCCAGGTCGCTGGGTCGGAGGCCTCGGCCAGCAAATGGCTGTCTTCTATTGTTGTCCAATGAGTGACGGACAGCGCGCCCGGCGACGGCACTGCCATTTGTACCCATTCAGTCATTTGTGGGTACCATTTCAATGGCTGCTTTGGCGCGGCCAGACAGCCGCAATCGCTGCGGGGACGAGGCGGGGCGGGGGCTCGGAAAACGAATACATACTGCCGGCCGGCACTGGGCAGCGGTGATTTAGCCATGGCAACATGAGCGCAAACAGAACCGGTGCCGTGCCACATGCAATGGTCCGGCTCAGCTGGAGCCGAGGACGCCATGGCCCACATTGCACGGATGTAGGCGAGCGCGTGACCGTTTACACAGATTTTCCGGAAGTTTGTTTTGAAGGTTTTCATGTAATCGATGATCGCTTCATTCATACAATACCAAAAATAGTTTTTGATATGCTGCCGGACGAAGTATTCTTTTTCCGGCGGCTTCACTAGCGACACACCAAGTGACAAAACTGAAAGGGAATGACAGTTGTCAACTGAAAGGGAGTTAAAACCAAGGCTCTACAGGTTAAAACAAGCAAAGGCTTAATATTACGGCAGGTAAAAAGAAGCTTTCACTGCTTGGTTTGTCGCCAACAACGCATGACCTCAATGTACAGTAGCGGGGCATTCAGTCCGGTCCAAAGCCACCTCCGACCGACGTGGGTTTAATGCTGCCGTCTGGCGTCACACGAACAAACGACCATGACCAGCCATCAATCTTGCAGCAGGGCACGGGTTGCAGCTACACGGGGCCACTTACTGGCCGACCGGCTATTACCCGCAACGTTGCGACGCCGTACTAATGCTTGACAGCAGGGTACGGACCGAATGGTCCACATAAAAAACGACATAACAGACGTCAGCCAAAAGCGTGGCACCATGTGGGGGCAATCGGCCAATGATCACGAGGCCAATAGCTTAGCAATTGGTGGGCATTAGTAGCATCTTGCTATTATTAAGTTAGCACCAAATACAAGATAATCTTCCAAATGTTTATTCTAGAAAACGTTACTGGGAACGCTTTATAGACAGCTTTTAGTTTTGTAATTTTTAAACCAAAGCTAGCTTTACAGCTATTATGGCACCTAATTTGAACCATAATCTGTTGGCAAACTTAATTATTCATTAATAAGGCAGCAAGCTTGAAACGGTATTTAATTTAGAAATGTACTTTAGAAATTGCTACGCCATACCGTTTAACGAAATGCTTACGAAATGCTTACCAACAAAGAAACACAGAGTATTTTACAGGCCAAATGTGACGAAAGGTGCTAGGTCGACCATTAACAGTTACTTGCCGTTACATCGTTCATTTTCGTGCACATAAACAATTTTGTTTGTTTACGATCAAACACTAGACATTGGTTTCCGTGACAATGTATCTTTTCATTGGTCTGAACCAGCTTCATAATCATTCCATTGTGCAGTTGCTTACCAAATCTCGCAATGATAAACATTCTGAAGTCTACTTTCTTTGGGGATCCCCATTTTCGCCATAGTTCGCGTCAAGTCCTGACCTGTAACGTTCCGTTACATCCCGTCCCATCCTGTCGTCCTATCTTGTCGTCCCATCCTGTCGTCCTATCCTGTCCCATCCCGCCGCGTCCCATCCGGTCCCGCCCTCCCCTCCCCTCCCGTCGGCACTCTCCCCGCTCTCCCATGATCCCAGTTCAATAATCCAGCCGCTCGATCGATGGCTGTATGCATTATGAAGCAGCGGGACGGCCACCGGGCGGACACTGGGCCCGTCGCTGGCACCCTCCCTGCCTGTGCACCTCACACTGAACGGCCGGACCCCGTATCACAGCCCCGGGCCACTTCTAACTGATCTGAGCATCAACTGCGGCTTACACTAAACGCTACCAGTCAAAGGCAAAAAATTGTCTTCTGTTTCCTAGGATAATCGCAAAAAGATCATTAATGAAATCAATTGCCTTAGTATTCATTAGCTAGGACTAAGCCAAAAATAATCGCTCTGCGATGCCGGCACGTGGAAGCGGTGGCAGCGAAGGGGCTAATCCGTCATGGCACAGGATATTAATATATCTGCGGCGTGCTCCCTCAAGTGGAAAACAACAGCTCTACTGTCATCGTCCACCCCACCCGAGGGCCTTCTCCCCCGATAATAAACGAGAATCACTAATCAACTTGCGTGCGCCCGCAGAAGCCAAGAGAAATGGGTTATTTGCTGCTGAGGCGCTCCCCTGTGTCCAAGGCGGGCGGCGCGGCGGCGGCGGTGAGCGACGCCTGCCAGTTCCAGGGCATACTGTGCCGCACGACTCAGCTGCTCGGCGGGTCAGCCTACCCACGCAGGCAAACCTCCGGCGCTGCCGCATCGAAGTCTCCTACGGCGATCGCGGAGACTTTCACACGAACAGAGAGCTTTATCAGCTAGGAATCAGCGCCGGAGAACTGTAGACGCCAGAAGCGCATTTTTTAGTTACCCCTTTTACATTATATGAGGCAGATAACTTAGTCAACAGCACCATCACTCGCGACAGGGGTCGCGTCTAACGTCTGCTGTTGAATGCCGGCACCCATGCTGCGTGCCGCCCTGGTTTTAACTCACTGCCAGTTTGAAGAGTGAATTATTGATGAGACAGTGGATCAACGGCAAC